TTTTCAGGATGCATTTTGCTATGCTCACTGATCTTGAACATATTTTGTTATAAAGATATACAGGACCACCCAAAGTGTCCTTAGATACTAAAAGATAAGCAAGATATCACAAGAAAACAAAAATCAAAACAATGTTTAATTACAATATAATATAATTTAATAGAGGAGGAGTGCTTTAATTAGCATAAATTGGTATGTAGGACAAAATTAAATGGGAATCAGAGGTGTTATTTTAATCAGTAATGGGGTAAGCCCAACACAAATTTTTAAAAATTTATTTTGACATACACTGTATCAAATGGAGAAGGTTGTTTCATTAATTCTAGTTTTACTTTTTACATAAAACTGTTGAATGTTGGCTCTAACATGTAGACCTAAATATATTTATATAGTCAGGTAGGTAAGCAATTTCACAAACAAAAACAAATGTCAAATTGACTTCAAGTTAAACCGATACTTTCATTTTGTGCAGAAATCAAATAGACAATCAAGATCAAGCTGAAAATGAACAGTACATAAATACAACACTTACAATAAAATGTCACAGTGATTGACAAAATAGAAAATAATTATCCTGAATATAAAGATGGATACGAAAACCGTTAGCCAACATACGTAAACTTGTTCTACTACAGCACCTGGGGTACCTTCACATCATCTCAGTAACCCATCCATTTATATATTTGTTTTATCTCAATTAATTTAAAAGGTGAGTTTATTTAACTAAAATGGTGGGAAATGTCATCAAATCCGCATGCAAATTTGCTCCCAAAAAGAAGTGCAATTAAAATGCCATTTTCAATAATTTCACTTTAACACCTTTTGAAATGACCAATTGGGTTTACTTTATACTTTATGTCATTTGTACTGACATAACAGATTCTTACCAATTAAAGCACTAAAACAGAGATGTAATTACGTCAAATCAATCGTAGGAGTTTTACAACTGTTTGTACATCAATGTGCTTTTATGGTGATAATGGCAACAATTCAAATGCGTGGGAGGTTTTAAAATAAACATCAAAAGTAGTCCCAGTCCTATAATTGTCAAGATAGGAGTTAAATTTAGTTATTTTTGAGGTAAATGACACGCTCTGTTCCACCTGTATCAATGTGAGGCTAACAGGTGGGTGTTAACGGTGGTGGTTGCGTGGTGTTGACACAACTTCAACTGTCAATGTTACCTACATAATTTATACCTATCTATCCATAATGTATTGAAGGTATTGTCTTAACAACTAATCTTATGTTCTTTGACCTGAAACACACCCTCTACCACTTCAAATAATGAAACAACCCTGCCACTGTTTGGGTCTACTTGATTTATGTTCTGTTCGCACCAATACATCACCTCATACACTAAATACATAAGCAGTAGCTAGTGAGTTGGCAAAATAAAAAAGGGACGGCAAAAAAAAAATACATGGAGTAGCAAAGTCAAGATATTGTGTAAACTCAGATAAGACGTCATTGAAGTTTGACACATGCTGTCAATGACTGATTACATGATGTACTCATGTCGTTGAATTCTGCCCATAGCCCTAGCTGACGACAAAGTCAAATATTCACAGCCATCATACATATCTACTGCCTGATTAAAATGAGTGTACCACTCTCTTCTGCAAATAGTTTTTTGGGGTATGAACCTCGCCCAATCACCACTAAATACAAACATTTCACAGTCTTGATTGCACGAGATAAATTGTTTTTTCAAGCTTTAGAAAGCTTAGCATAAGATTTTAGCCTGTGTGTTTACCTCTGTTCTGTATTGATGGTTGTATTTTCAGGAATTATCTACTTGGAAAGGCTTTCATTATATCCAAATGTACCTAATAATAGCCTGAACAACACAAAAATCAGTAAAAGATTTCTCTGTCCTGTTTTACAAAATGGTGTAAAAAGTATACAAATCATTAAGTACTGTAGATATTTCTCGATAAGAAATCTGCACTGAAGTATGTTTATACTTATGCCATTTAAACTTGAAATTTGCACACATAATTGAACTGCTAACCAAATTACTCATGCAAATGATGCTTTGGGGAAAGGTATCTAGTCACTCATGGTTAAGTCTTTCAGAGCTTACTGAAATTTGTTACCTTGACAAAGACCTCCCTCAGATAATTAATACACTATAGTGTCCTGGTAACATCTAAGAATAAAATTTTTGTCCAGGACCTCCAGAATTTCTATATAGAAGATTTAATTTCAAATCTGGCAAATATGCCTTGATACTTGATTCACTGATCAGTGTAAGTATGACTGACAAATACCTACCGCTGAAAAACAATCCAATTTTATTAAGTGAAGATAGACATAGACAACATGCAATAAACTTTATTAAATTTATTTCAACTGCAAAACCTATCCCAGTCCTTGATCATCAATAGGAAAAGGTGAAATTAGCACAAAATAATTCAATAAACAAAAGTTGATATAGGATTGTACAGGATTTTTTTGGGGTCAAAATAATAGTGACAAGTCATGTAAGCTTATATAAGAGTATGCAAATTTGTGTTTTAATGTGTTAATCTTAAAAGGTGTGTCTACGGTATATAAAATTAAAACAGTAGTCTGAAGACTGTCTATCATGTCATCATATAACAGACACAAGGAAAGTCCTTCATTTGATATTCATCAGACTTGTTAATATTATGACATGGTTTGTTGGGGAGTTCTTTACCCATAGCTCTGACGAAATTATGACCTTATTAGACAATACATGATAACTGCCCAATAAAAAAACAGACACAACAAACAATAAATAATAAACCACAACACAGATTAGACTACAGAATCAGATACACATTACCAGATAGACCATAACATTGATGACAAGAACTAAATATAGTCAAAACTGCTGATCCTCATCTGCATAATTCAGAAAATATCAAATTTTCAATGGCTTAATCCAGCTAAAATGCAGTCAATTTGATTATTTAACACTTAATTAAGAACACAGAATCAAAATATCCATGACAGATAAACTCCCAGCTTGGATTCAAATCGGTTTAAAAAGAAACCCATCAAAACAATTCCGGGAAACTTAAAAGATGACAACGGCTTGTTTAAAATGGTTTTAGGCGAAACAGCCTACAGGTATATAGAATTACCTCTATCTATACAGTAATCATAATTCATACACAGCAAAGTAGACATCACTAGAACTTTCTGTCTTATCCTTTCAGACAGGAACTGTTGAAATATTAAAAACAATTCTATTTTATACTAATATTTGATAGACAAATTAGAATTTTAGAAAAGGAATTATGATCAGACCAATGCCCTGGCATATTCTTCACCATATTTATTCTTAACAGAATAAGATATTTTATATATCACCTTTTTGGAACAACATGTTCAGAGAGAGAGAGAAATGGAGTTTAACGTCCACTTGACACAAACTAGGTCATTTTGGGACTAACACATGGTTCAATTTTATTTCAATAATTCGCTTGCGCTTAGGGGTCTTTAACAGTGGGAGGAAACCCGAGGACACGGAGAAAACCCACGAGGTTGGAACAACATGCTCATAATTTAATTACAAAATGTAAACAGAGAAAAAAACATTGTTAGTCTCAAATGAAGCCTAGAACTACAGGTTTGAACATTCAGGAGGTGAGAAATGAAATTTAATTTTCTCTACACACATAACATATACTACAAATCAGACCACAAATTTTGTAAAGCACTGATAAAGACAAAAACATAAAAAAAATTAACAGCAGTTGTTATTTAGAAAAGCATGCCTACGCAAGACGTACATGTAACATACATAACTAGCTAGCCATGTTTTTAATTATATACAAATAATGGAGTATATCTATTTTCAAGTTGTTTAACTGGATTATGTATAATGATGAACAGAAAACACAGACTAATGAATGTGATAAGGTTTTTTTTTAAAAAACAAAACATGTTAAAACAGCAGGCTACCCATATATCTTATTTAAATATTTTTTTTTTAATTATATACTACAACAAATACATACAAAATATTTACTGTATGTTGGACATGTATTTTGTATTATTTTTAATAATATGTGTCAAAAAGATTGACATTTTATTATCCCATCCATGCATACAAAATCATCCTATTCAAATTTTGACAGGATATGAACTGGTAGTGAGCACATAATTTTAAATCAACACATATATCACAAGTTTTAAATAAAAATAAAAATGAGTAACATGATTGTGGTGTGATACTTCTATATGACACAAATAATAGTCAAATATAAAACAGTCTTGTTGACTGGGAAAATAACAACGTGATACCTATGCTTTGTGATTTGCTTATTGTTTTATAAGGCTAATAGTCCAATCTAGACCGGGTATTATAACAAAATAATACTATGTTCTTTAATTGGGTATTGTGGCTTTTGTATATCATAGTTAATAAATCATAGTACTTATATTTAATAAAATGGTCATTTATTTAATCTGTACTTGTTTTCAAAGAAAATTTACAACTGTTCTATTCCAAGAATACTAATAACTAGACACATTGAAAATTTCTGAAAAGTTTCCTACTTTAACATCACATTATAGGGTTAAATACTGAGTTTTTATTTAAGTATCAATACCAAATTTGTTACTAAACAATTTATAAATGGAGATAAAAATCTGAGTTAGATTGGAAAGGAAAGGGGTCGATAATTACTCTGGTATAAGCAGGTTCCAAGCTTGACAATATTGGCAGACATGGCGTTATTCACGTCATTTTTTGTTCACTTCGACTCGGTGATATATCGTTAAAGTGTGTCGGATGACGTCTACCTCGTGCCACTGACGTAAGAGCTCGACTCCAAGTTGTGAACGACTTGACCCGCGGCATCAATATTTCAAGCGATTCCAAATTATTGCAGAAAATAGCGCGTAACCTTTCTCATAATGATGCCCTAATTATTTTTAGTATAATGGCCAGTTCCTTAATAAATTCTATTTCGAGTACGTCTATGGTGAAAAATAGACAAAAATCACAAATAAATTAAACTTACCAATAAACCTTTGAATTCATTCAGCTGTCCGATATTCCAGATTTCTTGTTGGTAGTTTCAGTAAGAAAATAACACACGATATAATCTGTCAGTAGTCACATGTGATGTGTACTGAACTGGGCGATACGCCAGATACTGTTCTCTCTCTCCGGCGGTAGTCTTTTCCCAGCAAAGATGCGCTGGAATTATTTACTGCGTCTTTATTCTGAAATAAAAGACAACCCTATTTGACAACTGACAATTAAAAAGATTTCAATTACATGTCCATCCTCATCAACTTCGTTAAATGCCGAGATGTCATTTAGCATCTCCATCACGTCACATCGCGTAATTTCTGTAAATTTCCAATGTTAACAAAATCTAAATAAAATGGTGCTTTGGTGAGAGAAATGTTCCACTATCCGATACACACGTTGGTTTAAAGATAGAACTCAAACACATAAAGAACCTCACCAATATAAATCCATGAATTGAACAAAAATAACTCGACCGATTCTATTTTTACTCACCAGTGAGCTCGTCTTAGGCGAAAATCGGCAACTCAATCTATTTTAGGAAAAGGAAAACACTAGTGCCGTATTTATAGTGAAGATATATAAAAATATTATTACGCTCGACTAGTCTTCTTACACAAGTAGTCATAGAGTTTTTAATCACATGTAGATATTTACTAATAGTTGCCTTACAGATATGAAATTTATCTTAAAATATACCGAAGCCAACAACTTATTTAGTCATGTATGCATCGCACTTTCTTCTTTCGCGGAATAAGTGGATCGATGGTTGCCAGGGACACTCTGGTCTATTTGCGTCATAGGTGACCCAGTTATCAATTTGTCGATACTGAACGATCTCTGAGACCGTAGCGATAAGATTTCAGCTTGACTCGTGACTGTTTTTTTCAGCACACATATAACGTGTATAATAATACAACCGAACTATCAATTCTGCGTTAAAAATTGATAATATTTAGGACTACATATCGTGTGGAATTCCGACCCATTGACGTCATATGGTAACACCAATGGCACGTGCTTGCTGTAAAATCTATTGAAACACGCGGGAAAAGTCAACACTGATATATAGAAGTAAAATGAGATGGTATTGTATTTATATTAGTCTAACAGGTTGCAATTTTAGAACTTACGTCTATAATGGGATTGACACCGATCAAATATGTCTGTGACCGTGAATGCCAATGAAGTTATCCGCCCTTCTCAGACTGTCTCGACTAACATGGTGATAGTTTTGGCCTGAGCTGACCCTTTGGTGATGTAATATAACAAGCTCAATTGGCATATGTGTCAGCTCTTAGGTGAACACCCCACGATGTTCTGATTATTATGAATAGACAAATACTACTTTTTCTTGCCCTTTAAGGGTTTAGATCACATTGTCAGATATGATGACCTTGAAGTTTTGCACTATTAGTAATAGATTTGATGCATTGGTCAGTCATTAGATTAATCGGATACTTAGTATACAGGGTATGTATAATGAATGTTTAACCAGCAACGGAACAATCCACATATCTTTTTAAAACTACTCTTATGAAAAATTACGACCTCTATATTGCTGTCTACGCACCCTTACCTCTGTAGCCAGTGAAATGAAATGAAATGAAATGAAATGGAGTTTAACGTCCTACTGTTCTGTCTGCTCCTAACCTGGGCTAATGAAGACGGGCATACGCCATACAGTGTGCTATGAGGGAAATTTTGCCCGGACAGCGGCACTACGGCCTACTCTTATATCAAATTCCAACTGCCAAGGGATCTTTTACGTGCACGCCAATGTGTACACGGGACCTCGGTTTTTCGTCCCATCCGAACGACTAGACAGCTTTCCTTGTCAGCCCCTCCGTCCTGCATCACTGACAAGGGAGAATCACGCCGGAAAATCTGGATGAACTTTCTCGGCCAATGAAGGGATCGAACACCCGACCTCTAGGCTAGCGAGCTAGCGTCTTACCCACTTTGCCACGTAGGCAGTACTTATGGTGACACCACCACGGGCCATGACCAAAATCAGATCTTTTCATAAATAAGGTCACAAAATTGAAATTCTTGTAAACTATAGTGGGAAAAATGGAACCAAATAGCCATGTTAAATGGTAGATTTCAGCAGTTATTAATGACTGTTGGTGACAGATAACAATAAACACAAGATAGAACCTGAAGTTCGACATCCTTGTGGCATTGAATTGAGGATAGCATGAATAAAAATTCAATAATAGTAAATCAGTTACTGTTACCGACTGAAATTGAGGACTGTAACAACTACCCAGACGATTTCGATCTCACTGATCGGCGACCCCGTCTTTATTTTATAGTCAGATTGGTGAAGAAAAATAGGATTCATTTCATTCATTAATATTCAGGTCTCTGCGGGACCGACTATTCATAAGACGATCCGATTGCCACGTGAGCAGAAAAAGCGAGAAAATTAAAAAGAAACAACCAGTGCATCACAGTTTTGAGCTCAAAATATATGTAGCAAGGCTACCTCTATTATTGTCAGTAACTGGAACAGATTCTCTTTTGCGCTACTTCCGGAATTACTTGTTACGGTTCAACTTGGGCAAAAAAAATGTTTGTTACAATTATTTTTGGAATATATTTTATCATTTGTATCACATATGCAAAGTCTCTAGATGCTGTGTGTGAAAAAATTCAGTATTGTTATTAGAAAAATCACTAGTTCGTATCATTTGCGATAACTATCGAGCTGAAACTGCATTCGGGGACAGATCAGGCGCGGATACAGAGAGGGTGGCAGATGCAACAAAGCACCTCACTCTTTTGTGTTGTTTTGGAGAGGGAAGAGGGTGTATATTCACTATTCACTTTTCCAAACTGTGCTTGGCTGTCGGAACGGTGAAAATTTGGTTTCTTCGCGTTTTGCGATTTTTGGGGAGATTTAAAAAAAAGACTCCGGACGTGGGCCGATCATTTGAAAGATTATTTTTTATGAAATTCTTTTGACTCATTCAGCTCGGCTGGTCATTTATATTTATATGAACATAAAATGCACCGACATCAAGCTTCAAAAGTGTTTTTTTCTACTATAACATTAAGCTCAACCCACTGGGACTCAAGAAATATGTACATTGTACAACTGAGTTGCCAACATATTATATACATTGTCAAAGGCATATACTTTATTATATAAAAAAATGAAAAGGTATATATGTATTTATCAAGCTTGAAAGAGCTATATAGAATAAATTCATTTAGCTCGATCTTTTCATTTGTTTTTTTCGTCGCCATGCATCTCATTGAGCGAATATATAAAACGGAAATAAGAATGTCACAAACTGTTTTAATGTAGCAAATTGTCTTCAAAGGTCGACTCTGTCTTGTTATACTTTGTTCTCTCTGATAAAATCACAGGTAAAGGTCCCTAAATATTTTTCCTCGATATGCTCGGGAAGATTTTGGTTGCAGCCTCGCCCATTTTGAAAAATCCGGAACCTATAACATTAACCAAGCTGAGTAACAAGCACAGGGCAGTCACTGGGGGCTCCTGTGAAACTTTATCAAAATATACATCGTTTCATGCATATTGTTTCATAATTTAATTTTTCAGATTAAGATGTCAGATGTTAGGATTTATCCAAGAATCCTGTGAAATTTTAATGCAGATGTGGAAGTGTTCGGAAATTTTTAATATTTCTAAAGGGGTCCGCGAGTGGAAAGGGTAATAAAGGGAGAGTAAACTTGGGTAGGAATTAAACAAACATGTTAACAATTTCTCTAGGGAACATGTATCAGTGGAAGTAAAAACCCTTCAAGTCTGATTTTTTCGAAATATGATAGAAATTTTATGAAAAATATGGTGAGGCAAATGGAAGTCCCCGCCCATCATATCTGAACCGCCTTTATGTTGGAGAGATTCTGGAATATTTTACCACATACTGAGAAAAGTGTTCCATCATTAATGTTTTGTCATATTTAATCTGCGTTGCTTCTCAGTATGAAATGCTTTCAAATGCTTACATTACCAAACACGTAGTTGGAAAGTATTATCAGGGACCCAATATGCCCTTGCTAGCACTCTGAATCATGTACTTCTGCCACGATATTGTGAACAATTTAATTTTTCCACCACTGCAGTCTTCAGATTTTGACGTTTCGGAACAAGCAGCCATTTCTGCTTGTTTGACTGAATTAACTGAGATGGCACCCATTAACAAAAGTTTGACCTATGGAATCTATGAGGAGACCGTGTACAGCAACTACTGCAGTCATGATTGCTGACTAATTGGGCTACCAACGATTGTATTTGCATTGGCCTTTTTTTTGTCCGTATTCTTTTATATACCTTCTCATCGGATGTAATGTCTTTGTATAAAATGTACATTTATTCTTCACGAGTTCCCAAGACAATACCAGTAACTTATATAGAGAAATATTTTTCTATTACCCCGCAAAACAACGTCCAGTGACCTGTCATCTCGGACATAATATGTAGGTTATGACATACCCGTGTCAAACGGGTATTCCAGCCAACTGAAAGAAGGAGCATTCTTGTCGTTTGCCACATTTTGGCGCCAGTTTTCCTTAGATTGTGGAGGATAGATATCACGAACTTTGTGTTGTTTGTCTGTTTTTAAATTCCAAGCTGTGCTTTTGTTTGTCTACTTTCTTGTTTACTTGTCATCAATTGTTTTACCTTGTTTACACATAATATTGGCGAAGATGTTTTGTGCCGAGCAGACACCGTGGCTACATCTACCCACATCGGCAAATTTCCGGTTCTAATTATCAGGCGTTTAACTAGTATTCTATGCTATTTGCAGAGCAGGGCGCATAAGGAGATATGTTTTTTGGGTTGTTTGATTTTTTTTTAAAATGATGCTCATAATATGTGAAAAGGAATTACACTGAATTTTAGCAACATTTTATATATATAGTTAACGTTATCATACAGTCATACAGTGACTATAGCCCAGGGAGTTATTGGCGGGGATCCCGGTATTGGCTAATCAAGTTCCTCGGGGTTTTCCAGCATGAATTCCCCATGACAGTGGTGCCGGTCGGAGGAACTCGTAAGGAACAGTGTCTAGTCCTTTGAATGGGACGAAAACCCGAGGTCCCGTGTACTTAAATTAACCGTTAACAGTTGGAATTCGATGAAGAGTAGGCGGAAACCCGCTGCCTGGGTAAAATTTCCCTCTTGGTATGATCACCTTCATGAACCTGATTGGTGCAGAAAAGCGAGGTGGTAAACCCCATTTCATTTCATATTACAGCCATCATGGATTTTAGTAGACTGGACTTTATTGCCAAATATACGTAAGTTATGTATTCCACGTCTGTTTAACATGTACATCTCTTTCTCATCCCATCCTGTCCCCCAAAACGTGACCTGGAAAATCATTAAAACTCGTTCCCTTCATTAGCACACATTCCTTGTCCGGCGTCTTAGTTAATAGATAGAAGACTATTGTACTAAGCTTCAAACGATCAATAACGGCCTCTCGACTCTCTCTAATGAGAATAGCTCTCTAGGTTTTTTTCGAAGTTTTCTTGGGTATACTGTGAACATCTTTTAATCTGCCATCCACGGTTAACACACGGGGTGACACTGATCTGTATTTATTGAGTATTGATCGGATTTCTTTATAAAATATGGACTAAAGATGCATCAAAAGTAGCCTACATTGTAAACTACAGTGTACTAACAAAATTTCTCTCTCGTTCGGTGCATGTATAATATTTATATTTTCCAAGCCGTTTACAGCCTCTAAAAACTTAATATTAGAAAAACCGATTAGCTTCGCTCGTCAACATCAGTTATCTTAGAAAAAAGAAAAGCTGTCCTGTCCATCAAAATATCTGCGAGGTAGAGAGAGAAAGGGAGAAATAGGTCATTTCGGGACTAACATATGGCTTAATTCTATTTCAAAAATCCGCTTGCTGTGGGAGAAAAACGCAAACTGGAGAAAATCCACGAGGAGGGACAAGCGCACGAATATGCGGAGAATCTAAACCACGCCACTTGACATAAGGACAGACATGATCTAAGGCGAACACGTTAAACCACTCGGCCACCGATTTCCCCGATTTGCGAGGTAACAAGTAATCTCAAATGTCAGTCCGTTTCAAATTAAAATATCGTGGCTGCCTTATGCTTATTGAACCATTAACAAACCTTCAACATTGTTAACGAGGAATTATTGTAGTCATGTTCTAAAAACCCATTGCTTCGAATGCGAAGCCATTCTCGGAAGAACCCACAAGCGTCAAACCCCCACTTCCGTTCTAATCTATTTTTGGTTAATTTCAAGGAAAGCCAATATCGTGAAAAGTTTAATAAAGTAAGTATCTGAAAGTCGCTAAATTAGCTGATGCCATTTGACAAACTGACAGGTGGTCCAGTACTCATTTCTGGCTACTAATCTTATAAAGCTACGATGGACGTCAAACGGCCCTGGGCAATCAAATGAGTTTCTTGAGAAGTGCGTAAGTTTACTGTAACTCCATGCTCGCTATACTACGGAAACACCCGCTATATTATATAATACAATATATACTTCATAGAGAATATTAACGAGATATAAATGTTATTTTATCTGGGAGATTTTATCGACAAGAGTTAATTGATTTCAATGTGAAATGGTAGCCTTGTAAAAAAGAAGTTTCCGGGCACAGCATCCGTTGACGATATTTGCGCATGTCTGGATTTATGCAATGACGTCAATGAGCTTCCCAACGGAATGGTATAGGGTACAGAAGAAAAAAGCCATGGTCTATTGTAGTTAAATCAATGGCAATTATGTATCCTAAAATAGCTTGACTTCATTGAGTAATATTGTCAAAGATCGTGTAACCCTACCTATTACGTACGTGTGAAGTCTTTTTTTTTTTATTGTCATTAAATATAGGACAAGGCGAGAAAATAACCCAGGACCTTGATTTTAATCAACCATTGATTTTATCTACGGTAGTGGAATAATACAAAACTAATGCATGCTGCCTCATTACATTAATTTACACTTTATTCTAGGGCCGTTGTACCGTTAAAAATGGAGGAAATCACAATGCTATAAATAAAATGATGTGGATAATAAAATGGCACTGACCCAAAGAACTATAATGCAGAGTGTAAGGGGTCGTATGTATTCAGACATTGAGTATGTATATTTGCCTAAATTCCAATTCAATGATGCTTTGATGCCTACTCATTGGCAAACACAACCATGTCAGACAATAGAACGGACGGTTGCGGAACGCTAAATATTGATAGTTTGTCTTCTCTCATGAACCCAATGACAAATTTGAAAAAGATTTGTTAAAAACGTTGGCTTCTATAGTTCTTTTTATTTTAGGAAAAGGGGGCATAACTCCGGAATAGTCATTGAATTCCGATATTTTGAAGTATGGTCTGTCACTGGTATTTTTTTTTAATAAAATGGGATGGAATAGAGTTGAACGTCCTACTGTTATCTGTTCCAACTAGGCTAATGAAGACGGTTTAAAAGAAATAGGCCCCCATTTTTCTACTTTTCGGTTCAGGACGCTTTTCGACGAATCAGAACATAGTTAACACGGACTTTCATTGTTTTGTTTGTTTTCATGTTTTTGTTTTTTTAGGGCGGTGGAGGGGGGAGCACCCTTTTCGTATAATTTACATCTGCAAAAGTGTGGGCCATTATTAAAGAAGAAACAAAAAAGGTTAAATTACCGAAATAATATACTTGGAGGGATACTTCATTCCGAGCATCGACAGGATCCATGCGAATCTGTTTAACCGTTGTTTCGAGGACGTAACTCTCAGGAATACATAGTTCTTATAAAATATAAAATATGCCATCGTATTACATATAGCTCTGTAGGTTTTATCAAATATTATTATGCCTACAGTTCTTATAAAATATCATATTATTATATGCCATCATATTACATATTATAGTTTTTATCAAATATGCCATCATCTATCTATCTATACTAATATTTGTGACTGTCGTTTGTCTGTCTGTCTGTCTGTTCGGGGTTGGCGGCTACACTAGGTCTGCCCCGAGTCTGAAATTTGGGGTATAGGGGTAGCTCGGACCGGGGAGTAACATAGTCCAGGTGGCGTTAGTCTACCACTTCCGGTTTCGGAGTTATGACCCCCTAGCGAAGCTGGTCTGTTCGGGGTTTGCGGCTACACTAGGTCTGCCCCGAGTCTGAAATTTGGGGTATAGGGGTAGCTCGGACCGGGGAATAACATAGGCCAGGTGGCGTTAGTCTACCACTTCCGGTTTCGGAGTTATGACCCCCGAGCGAAGCCGGGTATCCTGCTAGTATTACATAGTTCTATACTGCGTTTAGCAAATATCAAATATGCCATCATCATTATAGAGCAGTTCTTATAAAATATCTAATATGCAATCATATTTAACATAGTGCTTATCAAATATATTACTTATAAAATGAAATGAATGAGATTGTTTTAGGCTAAAACTTAAAATATTTATGAGTTCTCTAGTTTATTGTTCTTTGAAGATTTACATTGTCCGAACAAAGGAGCTGCAGATAGAGACGTTCAGTAAGCACTACTCGACTTAGCTGTTGCGCATAATCTTAGTCAGGTCCACCCTCAACCTACAAGAGACAATAATTTTGTTTTAACCAACAACCCATCCGTCGTCAAAACTTCTTCTTCCGTCCCCAGTATAAGTGATCATGCCATGGTAGTCACTGTAGGAAAAACATAATTTGACATATATATTTTTTCAAAATCACTAAAATTGATCTTCGTATCCACTGAAGAATTTAATGGTCTCGGTCGGAGGAGACAAATGATTTGTGAATGAGGTACAGGAATAGTGAATCACGGCGATGGGGGCCCAACGAAACCAGTTGGTAAGAGGGCCCGGGGCTACCCAGTTCGACCCTGGCAGTTTCAATGCTGGGCTAAATGGGGGTTGTGATTATAAATTGTTGCAAACTGCGAACCAAAATAAGAGAAAATTGGATACCAGCCCCAAACAGTCGATCACAGAAGGTTTAACTGGTTTCCTATCCCACTGACGGCGAGTGACGCTGAGGACCAGAAAGCAAGTAAGGAGTGATCGATGATGCATGTACATGTACGTACATTGAGCGCGATTATGTTTTTTTTTGGTTTTTTTTAGTATCGCTAGATCTATTTTGAACAAGGGAAGAGTAGCAGAAAAAGGAGGACCACATTGTTGCCATTGGGACAGTGGGAATATGATGACATCGGCGCGAGCATTTCCATGAGTATTGAGGTAACTCTTTCGAAATTTGAGGGCAGTTTTTCAGAAATTGCACCCTTTTAGCCAACAATGGCCGTTTCTTTATTGCCGAGCTCTTATTGACAGAATGGATAAGTTTCTTGGTCAACGCCATTTATAGTACGCTACCCAAATTTTCGATTCGCAACTCTACACATACGGTCATAGTTGGTAAGTACGTGGGGTTTTTTTTTTGGGGGGGGGGGTCCCTTTTCTCCATAACTTGCTGTAGTGAAAGATGAGTGAAGCAAATAGATGTGCAAGAAATTATTTACCAATTTGTTATGCATAGAATGAAGCGTGCTGTCATCCATGATTTCTAAAACAAACACATCTTGCATGGTGATAGCATTATTGTTTTATATACATACCAACAAACTATGACAGTATGTGATGAAGTAGTGCAGAGTTGTGAATCGAAAATTTAGGTTTGCGGCCACATGTTTTGGGATAAGGGATACCCCGAAAATGATATAAGGGACAACTGAACACCACTAAGCATATGGAATATTAAACCCAAAAAGATTAGTTCAGATACCAAATTTGCTGTATTGTGTTGAAGCAGTGTACAGTTATGCCTATTCCAAAATCTGGGTTCAGTAGCAGGTTCTGGGGTTTGGGGTGCCCCCGAAAATGGTATAAAGGACCAGTTAACACCACTGACTATATATATATATCCCCAAACGAAAGAATGGCCCCAATAACATTGATTTAGGGACCAAGTTTGCTATTTTATGATAAAACAGTGCAGAGTTATGCCCCTTTATAAATTTGTCTTCTGGGCAGCATGATTTGGGGGTAAGGATACCTCCAAAAATGCTACAAATGAGCAACGGACATCTATGAAAACCATTTCATATGAAAGACTGACCCTCAAAACCTTAAGAAAGGCGTCTGTTCCATGTGCTTCTCTTAAAAATTGGCGATTTTGTGCTTGTCGAAAGTTGTATATGTATCCCCAAAATTTGGAACTTTTCGGTACTCCCATTTTGATAAACTTTTAGGGTGTGAATCAGTACACCAACCGCTACCAGAAACCACCACAAAACCTTTTCTTGCAATTTTTAGGGGTTGACTCCTTTTTACATAAATTAATTGACTGGTCTATATCCATTCGTTAAGGCGGCCCTGCCAAATAGACCGATGAGACGGGCAAACGCCATGCAGTGTGCAAGGGAAATTTTGCAAAGACAGTTGCGTTTCCACACAGTCTTCTTCGATTTCCGGGCGGGCCCGTATCTAGACACCATTAAGCGGGGGGGCATTACCTTTCGGTAGGGGGGCGAACATTTTGAGGAAATTTTCGGAAAGGTCATTCTAACAGACTGTTGTAATCATCATGCTAGGGAGTTACCTAGGCGTCTAATAAGCATTTTAAAATAAGTATTCAAACAAAAAAAAATCGTGATTTTTTAAATTTATTTAAAACTATTTTAGATTAGTACCAAAAAAATGGTTTATAAAGTAATGAGATACCATGGGATTATGCGCATTGTCGCCTGAATTATACCTCCTCCTGCTTAGGGAAGCGTAGTTTTTTTTAAGGTTAATATAAGGAACTGTGTATACTTTAATGATTGTTAGCAATTTCTGAGCGGGGGGGGGGGGGGCGAGCATTTCACGCGGGGGGGGCCATGCCCCCCCGCACCCCCTGTAGATACGGGCCAGTTTCCGGGGAGCCACGATGGCTCTGTGAGTAAGACGTTGGATCGCTAACCTGGAGGCCTCGTGTTCGATCCCTGCGTTGGCCGAGTAAGTTCATCAGTGCAGTGGTGCAGGACAGAGGGCCTGGCAAGAGAGAACGCATAGTCGTTCGGATGGAACAAAAAAGATAGGTCCCCTGTACATATTGGCGTGCACGTAAAAAATTGTTTGGCAGTTGGAATTCGAGATAAGAGTAGGCCATATAGCGCCGCTATCCGGAAATTTTTTTCCTCAAAGCACATTAATTTCATATCTTCGAATTCCAAGCACAAGGTTTTTTTCCGTGCACGTCAAAGTGTACAAGAGATCTAGGTTTTCCAATAGCCAAATTAAAAACTAGATTTTCTGAACTATCACTGTATTGTATCAATTTCTTTACTTATTTGCTGGTAGGGCTGAGAACAGCGGTATTATTTTATATTGAGACGCAATGAAAACGCACAAATTCCGTCAATCTTGCAATTCTATTGTAATATCAGATCGAGACGTGTTTTTCACGATCGCGTAATTCAGAGCAACACTTCGCGTAATGATTCTGTAGAATTAAGTTGTTATGGCTTGTTGTTTTTCTTGTGGCGTATAAAATGGATATGCCAAAATTCACATTTCAGTTGAATTATATTACGCCAGCACTTCCACTGCATCTATATATTTAATGTTTCTCGCCAATGTGAAGCATAATTTCTTGTGAATTATACGTAAATAATTAATGGTTCCTAGAAATATCTTTAGTCCATATTTCAAAACGTTTGTAACGATATAATGTCTGGGTATAAAATACATTTCATCAGTTTAATTAATAGCCTATTGTTTTTGTTTTGGAGAAAATTGATCTTATTCGAGTAAATAAAGTTGTTGAGTATTGAATTTATGGTAGATAATCATTATTTATAGTTTAAAACATAAGGAGAATATTGAAAGACGTAATCTTAAACAAACAAAAAAAAAAATAATAAAAAAATAAAAACCAAAACAACACAAATAAAATTTTTTAACTAGATCATGTATAACATTTCCAGTTGTATGGTTATTATTATTTTTTAAATTGGAAGACAGTAGGAAAACATAAACATTTGTTTTCAAAATTAGAATTCTGTTCCTTAAAAACATTCTTTGGATTAACGTATCAGGGTGATATCTTGCTATCATACAGATTATATCTTGGATTATTATTTGACCCCTCAAAATTGTTCAAATTAAATTAAATGAATACTTAAGTGTAAAGAAATATCAAGCCATATAATATGTTTCATTCCAACCTAAGGAATTGAATTCCCTGCTCACTGTTATTCTGCATTGGCTATGATTTATTGAATTTCAGTGAATCTACCAACAAAAACACTTATTCAGATTAATATTGTCATCTTTCAATATTAATGCAGTTTTATATTTGTAGCTAAAGTACAAATTTAATTTTTTTTAAAGATTATTTTTAACATCAATCTTACCTCTGATTTTCTTATCTTAACTTTAGATCAGAAGTCCTCTGCTTCGTGCTAACACAATTAAACATTCTAATTTGAATGGACAAATACGTCAAAGTCTGCTTTTAGACGTAGATAAAAATGTACACTGTGTACCTTCAAGTCATTACTCGCAAACTATTATAAGACATAAGACTTGCGGCACCAGTGCTAATCACGATGACGTTCTTTTACTGGACGAAGTAGCATTCTCTTGTCCAGTTATTTTTAACCCCATCTTATATATGTCGTATAAACAATTGTTTAATAATTCATTTTTAATAACAAGTAATTCCGTTTCACTGATAACAATTTTATCATCTTGCAAATCAAGTTTGAAATTGGAGAAAATATTTAAATTTGGAAATGGAAACGTCTTTGACATTAAGATCGCATAGTTAATGCTTTGAGATTGGATAACGAGAAAATTGTCGTTTGACATGGAAGGAATACGTGGCGCTTGCTAGACTTGTCATGATACGAAAATACACGTGGCATTCGCGTAATGGCGTAGATTAATCATCTAATTCGCTTTATAATTTGGTGACAGCTATCTGATCATTATTGACATTTTCAAATCTGATTTCGTTCAGTGATATGTTTTCTTATCAGTCCGCGTGTTCAACATCGCACGACATAGCAATAATTGTACATGAAATTTGAAAACGTGGTTTGTGTCTATTGGCTGGCAGGTAAATAGTTAATATATTATTAATTTAATATGCCCGCCATGATTACTCATAAAATTTACAGGCTAAATATATCGGCATTGGTTGACTTGGTGTATTAAATTATTCTGTTTAGATCCAGAATATAATGGAAATTGGTGAAATTATTTTATACAGTTTTGAATTTATGTTCTAGTCAATTATTGTCGTATACCACATTATTACAACATTAAAATTAAATTGATTAACATTCCTTTTCCTAATTAGACATTTCTCAGTCGAATATTTTTTGTATATCCATGGAAATAAATTTGATTTAGTTTTTGGTATTTGTTAAAATTCCAAAGCATATCACACAAACGGTTTTAGATATTGTTATGAAACTTTGTACACATATATAGCCTTGTGCTGATTAGAAATTTCTCAGTTGAATAATTTTTTGTTTACATGGACACAAATTTGAATTTTTGGTGTACATTTGTATTTTGAAGCATATCCGAGTAACCGTTCAAGACATCTTTATGAAACACACAGGATAGTATTATAATAGTTGTGCTCTTGCTAATTCATCAATTGACTAATTTTTAAATTTCCACTGAACAAATTTGAAACATCAATGAAGCCATTCAAGTTATTCTTTATGAAACTTTGTATTAAAATAGTTGTGAACTTTGCTCATGAGAGAATTCTCGATCAAATAATTTCTGAGACAAATATATATTTATAAAACTTTGCATACGTACCAATATTTTAGAATAGTGGAGCATTTTGCTCCAAATGAAATTTATGGTTTCTTACTAACTGGATGTTGATGTCTTGAGTCACTCAGTTGTTTGTTATTAATATTTAAAGAGAAATAACTGCCACTATTAATTGACTCTTTGTGACTTTATGAAAAATTGCAAACACTTATATATGACTACTGTCGCGTATTCTTGTATCGAAACGCTAGCCTGGAGGTCGGATGTTCGATCCCTGCATTGGCCGAGAAAGTTCATCCAGATTTTCCGGCGTGGTTTCCCCTTGTCAGTGGTGCAGGACAGAGGGCCTGACAAGGACAGCTGTCTAGTCGTTCGGATGGGACGAAAAACCGAGGTCCCGTGTACAAATTGGCGTGCACGTAAAAGATCCCTCGATATAAGAGTAGACCGTAGCGCCGCTGACCGGGCAAAATTTCCCTCATAGGACACTGTATGGCGTATGCCCGTCTTCATTAGCCCAGTTTAAGAGCAAAACAGTAGGACGTTAAACCCCATTTCATTTCATTTCATTTGTATTGGAAATTGGGGATTAATAATAAGGATAGTTGGAGGTAATTAAATGTTAGTCAAAATTATAATACAACTTAACCGATGTTCCAGAAAATGTGTGTTCCCAAGACTTTCACCTCAAGACATGGTGGCTTTTTGTGGTTTACAATCCTTAAGTGTTTTTATAAGCCCACATTTTCAGTGGATGTAGGCCTATATTCTCGTAGCCCCTGTTCGTCCGGATGTTCACCTTTTGAATGTGGACACTCTACAGGTCACAATTTTTTTTTCCGATTTTGACGAAACTTGAAATATAGCTTTATATCCCAATGATCTCGGTTCCTATCAATATTGGTAACTTTATGGATTATGGCCCCTGATTGTACGAAAAAACACGTTTTTAGCTTGTGGACACCCTAGGTCACAATTTTTATGCTCTTACCTTTATGTAAATAATGTAGAGGTATGTAAATACCAAGGTTGTGAACCCTCTAGTGGTCTCAAAATTTATCCAGTTTTGATGAAACTTAAAACGTATGTTTATATCCCGAAGATCTTGGTTCCTCTTGATATTGGCGCATATCGGACTGTAACGGATTATAGCCCATGATTGTTCTCTGTCCATCTCTTGCAAAATGAGGGCTTCTTGCATGGCAAACACTTGTTAGATTTGGACCCCGAATTTGAGCCACCAACAATTATTTGTCCAACAAAACACAGTTCACATTTATCTGGACGCGAAACTAGCTTTTTTCTTCATAATGAATTATTTTCCAAATTTAGGGGATGGGTAATCTTAATGTCCTATCTTACAAAAGACCCCAAGGTGAAAACAGGCATCAACTGGTTATACAATATAATTAGAAAGATAGGTTGCCAGGCAACAAAATATACACGGCAGCTATATTGTCCAAGCAGTTGACAAGTGTTATCTCGTATTTATTTTTGGTGGGTAATCAGAGCGATTACATGACACAGATATCAATTTAATACAAATCATATAACTTTTGTCGTGTGAGCGTTCACAAGGTTCTACAAAATGAAAAAAGGGCCATAACTGAAAAATAAAAATTGTTGAAATTCGATAGAATTTGCTACTCTACTAATTTAAATAATGCATATAAATTTCATACAGCCCGAATGGTAACTTTTGTTGTTCGATAATTAATAAACGGAAATTGTTGAAATTATATAGGCTTCTCTGTTTTACTAATTTAAATAATGAACACAAATTTCTTGCAGATCAGATGATAACTTTTGTCAATAGAAGGTTCAACAAAGAGAAACACAAGCAATAACACTAGAAGAAATTAGCAGAAATTCATACAGATCGGATGATAACTTTTGTTGTTAGAGCGGACAGAAGGTTCTACAAAGTGAAACAAGGGACATAACTCTAGACGAAATTAACACAAAATCTGGAAATTAAATAGACTTCTTCATCAGACTAGATAAAACAGCATAGATCAATTTCAAAACTATCGGATGACAAGGTGGGCACAACTCAGAACACTTAAAATTCCAGTTTTCCAGGAGTTATTTACCAGATTCTAGTATTTCTTTTAAGCTTGAAGAACATTTACCGCCACGAACTTGTGAACTTTTGAAGAAACATTTAATGACTACATTCAGTTTTATATCTTAATATATAGCGAAACTACAAATGTTAATTTTCCAGGAGTTTCAAGGAGCACTTTTGTTTTCCAGGATTTTCCAGTACAGGAAATCACATTTTCATTTTTCCAGGATTTTCAAGAAGTGTGCGAACCTGGGATGATAAAGGAAATGAAATGGGGTTTTGTCAATAGAAGGTTCAACTTTTCTCCACCCACTGGGCTAATGAAGACGGGGTTCTTTTATGTGCATGCCAATGTGTAAATGGGGCCTTGGTTTTTCGGATGGTAAATGTAGTCTGTAGATTATTCATAAGAGAGAGAGAAATGGGGTTTAATGTCCACTCGACACAATGTAAGTCATTTCGGGACTAGCATAGGTTCAATTTTATTTCAATAATTCACTTGTGCGTAGCGGTCTTTAGCAGTGGGGGTAACCAGAGGACCTAGAGAAAACCCATGAGGTTGGACAGGCGACCCTACTCCTTGTCACATGCAACCGGGAAATCGAAACCCCACCAGTTGACTCAATGACAAACCTTACAATACAGCGCGGACGCGCTAACCATTCGACCATCCAACCCCCTGTATTCACAAGAAATTGTGGACGACGGACAGATGACAATAATACGACCACATTTCCATGTGGGCGAATAAAAACTTCATTAATAATACATTTATAAAATAGTATTTATTTACATGTTGAACTGTATTCCAGCATAGTTATGTCTCTAAGACAATAATTAGACAATTCATTTTCAGTTTTAAATATTTGGCAATTTTAGTAAAAGAATTCCGACAATACAACACAACACAAGGGTCTTTGATATACAATTTCAGTTTTTCTAAACTAGACTTTAAAACATATCATTTGTATAATTAAACGAAAATGAAACAAACTTTTCTACTGACCCTTATATATGATTTTGTCTTGTTTATTGTAATGTTTCAAATCATGTCATTTTATAGTTAAATTGATCAAAAATTCTTTATCTGTTTATTTATAAAATTCAACATTTGTTATTTATAAAATTCAACATTTGTTATTTGTCTCATATTAATAGGAAGGGAAACAGCAAGTTACACATTAATCTTTCATAAAGTCTCTGAACTGCATTGAGGAATCCCTTGCAAATTACAATATCGTGAATGTTGAATCTCTAAAAGCCAGCGCCACCTGTAATCTTTGCTGCAATCTTTTGATTGGCCTCTTTTTAACCCATTCATATACCATTGATATATTTTGTTTTCTTGATTAAATGTTAAATAATCAATCGGAGTACATAGAAAATGTGTTATTTTCCAAAAAATGAAAATGAAGTTCAAAGACTTTAAAAAAAAAAAACTCCCAGTACAACTGGATAGATCTTCATGTAGTAGTGTAGGCCATCGAAAGTATAAAAAAAACGAAAGGAGATACATGTACAGATCTGTATTTTAATCAGATTGATAATATTACTATCAAGTGTCTACAGTAGCTTTATGGTAAAATATTTTATGATTGTTAAGTTTCTACAGTAGCTTTATGGTATAATATTTTATGATTGTTAATTGTCTACAGTAGCTTTATGGTATAATATTTTATGATTGTTAAGTGTCTATAATAGCTTTGTTATATATTACTATCAAGTGCCCACACTTGATAGTAAGGGTGGAGGGGGCAATAATCTCTGACAGTGGTGTCTGCAATAGCTTTATGGTATAATATTTTCTGAAAGTGGTGGTGTTTGGAAAAGCTAAATTATGATATAATGAAACATTCTCAAGAGATCAAACAGTCCATATTTTGATATTTATACCATTTTGTTCAAAGAATATTCTTTTTAAATGATGTGACTTTATAAAAAGACAAGTATTTGAACATAAATTAGTAAGGTACAAATATCTGATATTATGTACACACAAATTTCTACATGTGCCAATATATATATATGTATATAAATTACGCTGTATATAGAATGATAAATACACTTATTATCTCCCCTTTTAAATTAGTACAAACAAAATAGTAAAACTGAAGTGATTGTCTATGCCAATATGAACACACAAACACAAAAAGAAGTCAGCAGATAATTACACATTAAGTTCTAAAATAAGATGTATAAAAACTTCACTATGTAGCATACTTATATTTTACCAAATTTCACAAGAAAATTTTCAGATAAGATAAAATTGATGTTCTCACTTATGTTCTTCGAAGGCAAACCCCAACCAGTTCTAGATATCAGCTTTGAAATTGCAACATATTGATAGCCAACTGTATGTAGTAATACTATAACATGTTAAATAGGTAAAATCAAACAGGTTTATGGAAAATGCTTACAGATTCAACTTGCTAGTCTTAATGCTATTAAAACTATTTTGTAATACAATGGCAATATACTAGAAATATTACAGTTTATTATTATCTAAACAAATCATGATTTATATTATCTTAACAATTCATAAAACTGATTTGATAACAATTCAAAGTTATGTAATAAATCATTTGTACATTATAAGTTTTTAATCACTACAGTATTACCATTAAGTAATAAACTATAAATGAATTTATTCACAATCTAAAAATTACTTTATTCAAAAGCCTCGTCAAAATACAAAATTAAACTACAAATTTATGTGATAAGATGTCATGTGCATTTTAAAACTTTGTTCATGTCAAAGACAGCATCAATGTCAAATCAAACTTCAATCACAAATTTGACCGTATTAATTACAATCAAAATGAAAGTAAACTATCAGCAAAATGTGTATATATATGTGTGTTTTATTTTTAGACAGTATGTATCATTTAAAATTAATAATGACTAAGGTATGAAATAATAAATGTGACATCTGGTATTAATGAACACCACAATGAATTATGACAATATACTTTTAGCAAACATTGTATATAAGCTATATTATCTTAAACAACTATATATATAATATATATTTCTATATACTTCATGACTGATAAAATCAACTAATGAAAAAGTCTATATACAATGAATATCAAAACAAAGTCAACACTGGATATGCTATTATAACAAAAAAAAAATAGAAGAAAAAAAAAGGAGTACAATTTATATATAATGGATGATAACTCTACTAAAGTTTTTGGTCGATAATTAAAAATATATAGTATTCAGATTTGATATTAAGGACCTTTAAAAGGTTGTGTTACAATGATATTGTTATGAAAGGTTGCATGCTCTTTGGAAATCAAACCAAACAAGTTTTGACACCCCATGATAAAACACACTATACTCTGTCAAAAAAGAAATGCATAGGTGATATGAAAAGAAGAATAGGGTTTGATTTTACAAAATATCGCTTGTTTGTACGATGTTGATGCATTATCAGGTTTCTTAACGTTTCTCCAATGCGATAGCTTGTGTAAAATTGTAAGAAATTGACGTGAAAAGGTTAGATTTTGTCCATTGCAGGTGAAACTCCGGAAAGAGATTTGTGAAGTGATGAGAATATAAAGCTGCGATGCTCGTACAGATGTTGCATTTACTTTTCGACATAGTCGAGTAACAAGATGATAAGATTAAGCCCGCTGAATCAAAACACAGCAATAGGAAAACTCCAGGTTACATGCCACATGAATGTTCATCAGAGCACTATTCCATGCCTCTCAGCATGACCCAGTGCTTCATGCTTCCACAACTGTCACATGCACTGCAGGCTATGATGCCATGTGCCTGGATTCAGAGACTTATTTTGTCCATGCCAAGGTTACTCCATTGAGAGGTGAAGAGAGAACACATATTCAAGTTATCGACCAATCCCATAAACTGTTAATTGCAAAGAAATTTGGCAAAGGGAAGTAACTCTCATTGTTGTGAAGGTAAACAATGCGGCTAAATTCTTAGTAAGACTGGTTTGTAAACTATTTTTTGATTGATTCGCAGACTCAATCTACAATCAAGGCCAGAGCAGATAGTTTGAAATCGTGGAAATCCTATGGATTAACCCACGGTATAGTAGAGTAGAACAAAATGGGACTACTGGGGAAACCGAGGATGTGTAGAGGTATGTCATTGTTAGTCATGGTACTATTTTATCTACGGAATAATAGGGTCACACTTGCTATAGAGTTAAAAATACACACCATCTATTGAGAACTTAATTATTGTTTGTTGAATGATTAATTAGTAAAGCACAACAGTGCTTGAAATTACAATTTGTCTACTATAGCACCAAAAATCTGAAAATGCCACAGCTAAAATGAGCCGCATTTGTTCATATTTAACACATATTTTTGTAATTAACCTACTTGGAACATGCTAATTTTTTATTTAGTCGTAGATAGACAAAAGACTTGTACAATGATTTTCAGTGTCAATTAATCTGGTTCTAATTATGTTTTGTGGTACTGTCATACATATCAAATTTACAGAGTTTTGGCATTATATTAAGTCATCGAAACCCATTTAAACTTTTTCCCTTCAATCTTTTAGTTATTCATGTTTCTAACAGTCGTGATCACGTGACAACCATAACTAAAATTGCTACATAAAATTTCCCACAGCTGTGCCATAGCCTTCTATAATAAGGACACTAAAAGTGAGCATGTTTATGAAATACTAAATTTTAACGGTATGCACTATTTAAAACTAAATCTTGCATCGCTGAATTATTGACCCAATTCCGAGTTATGACATTTGCATTTCCTGTTATCTTTAGGCCTACTATCTATAAATTTTTGTGTAGAAAACCATCTAGTATGTCATTTTTATTTACACAAACACTCGATACGTGTGCACGTGGACGGTGGAACAATTTAGGCTATTTTTATTTCGCTGCAGCAGTCCTTGTTTGCTTCGGCTCTTATCACAGTTTTGCCATTGTTAATTTCGAGCAGTGGCTGTAAGATCAAGAAATGTTATTAAATGTTGATTACAATATAAATCCCTAAATTGTTGGCACCGGCAGAATGGTTCATAGTTAACAGTGAGAGCTTGTCTTTGTCAATGTCATGTGACAATACCCCACCTTTTCAGTTTATAGGTTTATAGAGTTGAAAATACAACCATCTATTACATGCCAAGTCTTGTATTGTGTCTAAATAGTCATACACACGGCAACTAAAGCAAAAAAGAATGATTTGTTCACAATTTAATAATATTTTAAAGGTATTTGCAGAGTCTTTTTGAACAGATATCGACTACGCAATTATCGGCAAAATGACTGTGCATTGGCTGATACCGATTATCGGCCTATTACCAATGGTGAAGCCAATAATCAGACCATCATTATAAATAATGAAATCATATCACTTTATATTAAGGAGATTATTCCATGAATATTTCGCCTATGTGTTTCTTTTTTGACAGAGTATATTTATAAAGAAATGAATAAATGATGAACTTTATCATACAAGAATAGCTAAACAGTATATCCAATGTTGAGATAATAAAATGTTTTTTTGTATTGCAGTTACACTTTGAGAGTACTAGCTAAGAACACGGCACTCAAAATATAACAATATAACAACAATTACTAATCTCAGCTATTACTGCTTCTAGTTCTCTTTTCTGGTGGTTCATCATAATCGTGGGGTGATACCGGTGGTCTTGGTGACGTCTGCTGTGCATGTATAATTTGAACCATTCCAGTCGGCACAGGAATATTTTTTGACGTTGATGCTTCATGATTTGGTGACACCGGTTCCACTTTGACCCCTGACATACGCAGTGACGAGGATGTTGCAACTTGTAGATATGGTAACTGTAGAGAACCACTGGAAGATATGATAAAAATTATTTTATAAACATGTACAATAATAACAATTATAATAATAATTATTTACATACATGTGCTTTGGTAAATGTGCTACTGGATTAACAATATTCTAAACATAATACTCTATCAGTTTGTGGCTTTACTTAAAATGTTATTTCTGATATTTTCTAATTTTGATTAAATAAACAACTACCTCTTCTTAAGACACACTGGCAGCTGGAGAATTGATAAAGCAGTTAGATTTTCAAGTAGTGTAGGTCAGCCAGAAATAAGATCAATGTTTAGATTCAATGAAGCTATCTACTACAAGAAGAAGTTTCCTGCATACAGTTTTAAACATGGAGCATGAGACGGGACTTACCCAGGTGTTAATGTCAAGCCTGATGCCTGTACAGCGGCTGTTAATGGTCCAGGCTGATGATGACTACTTAACTGTGCTACAAGGGGTGATAGTCCAGATAGATCAGCTGTTGTTAATTGAAACTCGCCTGAAAATATAATATTAATAATAAATAGTTACAATTTAGATTTAGAGGTGTATTTCTCTTTTCTACTAAACATCAACCAAGGTAAATAACCCTGACTAAATATACTTCCTTGCTACTGTTGATCACGACCATGAAACGATCAGCTGTGACAATTTTACATGACTGTTTGGGTCAAGTCTACTTTATTTTCTCCAATCACAGATTTTTTGAAGGGTAGGTCAGCAATGAGAATCATGTGATTTTTTTATATCATTCCCTTCATTAATTGATATTTTACCTGCATTTAGAATTGACGTTGCTAAGGACGGATTTATTTGATTACCAGGTGTTGCCATGGACATTACTGGGGTTTCTAGACTCTGTGTTCCTAATGTTGTTCGTACCTACAATTAAAACATAAATTTGATTATTTATTCATGTAAAGGCTATAATATTAATACAATCTCTATTTTTCTACCCAATCAATAAATGTCATAATAATGACAATAAGTATAAGTACTTACGTCTGAAGTGCGCTGCGGTATCACAACCTTTAAATTGGGTTTATTCTTTGTGGCCAGATCTCCACCTCCCTGATCTTTGGTAGGGAGTGGTGCAGGAGAGGTACTTGGTTGATTAGTAGTAGGTGGTTGTGGAGAAGCTCTAGCGGCTGTTGCTGAGGGAGCTGGACTTGTTCTACTCCCTATAAACAAAATACAATAAGATACAACCAGCTGCTGCCAGGCAGGATACCCCCATATTTTGCAAGAGATGGATAGAGAACAAGCTAATAACAGACAGGATTTTTTGCACAATCAGGGGCAATAATCCAGAAAGTTATAGTCTGAAATGCGCAAATATCAAAAGGGACTGAGATCTTTGGGATATAAAGATGTTTTAAGTTTCATCAAAATCGGATAAAAATTGTTACCTCTATAGGTTCCACAACCTTCGTATTGCATACTTTTACACAATTTGCGTACAAAGAGTGGACATTTTGTCGGGCAGTTTCATTTCAATTTTCCGGAAATTCAAATTCAACATTCATTATGGTGGAATGTTGATATATTTAAACGGTTTTTAAATCCGAACTCAATCAAAATTACAGTGTAACGGTGATATATTCGAATGTTTTTTTAAATCGGATAATAATTGTGACCTCTAGAGGGACGTAAAGCTAAAAACGGGGCCATAACTTTGGAAGTTACGGTCCGATATGCGCGAATATCGAAATGAACCAAGATATTTGGGTTATAAACTTACATTTCAAGTTTCATCAAAATCAGAAGAAAACTGTGACCTCTAGAGGGTCCAGAACATTGATATACCACATTTTTACGCTATTTGAATACGAGGGGCGGCCATTTTGTCTGTCAGTTTTGGTCTCATTTTTACGAAATTCGAACCCAACCATTCTTAGGGTGTAACAGTGATATTCAAATGTTTTTTTAAATCGGATAAAAATTATGACCTCTATAGGGTCCACAAGCTAAAAATGCGATTTTTCGTACAATCAGGGGCCATAATTCAGGAAGTTTCGGTCCGATCTGTGCGAATATCGAAAGGAACAGAGTTCTTTGGGTTATAAACTTACATTTCAAGTTTCATCAAAATCAGAAGAAAACTGTGACCTCTAAAGAGTCCACAACATTCACATTCCATATTTTTACGCTATTTGAGTACGAGGGGCAGCCATTTTGTCTGTCAGTTTTGGTCTGATTCGAATTCAACCATCCTTAGGGTGTAACGGTGATGTATTCAAACGGTTTTTGAAATTGGATAAAAATTATAACCTCTATAGGGTCCACAAGCTAAAAACGTGATTTTCCGTACAATCAGGAGTCATAATTCAGGAAGTTACGATCCGATATGCGCGCATATCGAAAAGAACCAAGATCTTTGGGTTATAAACTTACATTTCAATGAGAAATCAAAGTAAGAATTCCCGTAAAATAATATTGTTTGTATCGTGTGTGTCTAGTTAATCGAGATTATTCGTAAAATAATGTGTGCGTCCGATTGAACAAAAACAGTAACACACAATAAAAAACAGACGAAATTGTTTTCTAACGAAGAAATAAGAATTAAAATGAGTGGGACTTCGGAAGCCACTGCCAAGAATTGGCTTCAGACATAAGGCCTAACCAAAAGTCTATATTCAGAAATGTTCACAGCTACCTGTAGCAGTGCTAAAATTCTAAAAAAATCTTAAGAATGAAATCTAATCATTTGTTATAAATTAAAATAATCTTGTTATTTAGGTGTTTTATGTTGAAACTGAAAAACTGCCAATCAATTTTTAAATTTGCTAATCAAATTTGACAAAATTGGACTTTTTGATTAGCAGTGCTGCTAATCATCTGTGAAAAACTACCGACAGCCCTGGTCCACATGAAAATGTGGGCGTATAAAAATTACCGTCCAACAAGCTGTCATCAATTTATCCTCAAATTGATAATGGTAAATAGGTAGGGTTGTATTAAGCATGGTGTCCATCGACCCATGCAAATGGAAGCAAATGAGAGGATACGATCAATTTCCGTTTTTTGTCGAAGAGACTTTCTATTTTTATGTATAACCCTACAGGATAATTAAAGCAAGGTTGGTATAGTAAAAATACTATACGACTTATCACATATGGACAAAATTGGCATTTTCTAAAAGCTGATAACTTGGGCAGTCATTCTGAAAAAATCACATGACCTACTGAAGAACCTGTTTTTCTGTTTCACTGAGCAAGCAACCAGTTGCTGCCTGTTGCCGAAGTGTTGATGTACGTTAAATGTGTAGATCAACTGCAGCCGATCAGTTGCGTTACTTCCAGTCACCATGTCGATGTATGCCGAGCTAAACCTATTGTAGTAGTGCGTTATTGGTAGAAATCTAGCCTTGGGAATAGCAATCTATTTCTGTAGATCCACAATAAAATTTCCGAAAATGTATTTGGTTATACTTTAATTTAAGTACATACATGTATATATATCACATTAAAATTAACATCTACATGTAATTCTTTCATGGAAGATGGCATGTTGACTTTGTTTTAGAAAAACTTCAATGTGATTATGAAAGCATATAAAGAATAGTAAAATTACTAACCTGATGGACTTGGTGAAGATTGGGTATATGTGGTTGAAGGTGGTGGTTGAAGTAGCACTACAGTACCAGGTTGAGAACCAGCTTGGGTGCTCTGGATATAATGGGTGCTCTGTACAGGAACAGCCACTGGAATCGTATTCTGATACTGGGTTATATTCTAGAATGGGTGAAAAACAAAACATGCTAGAAAAAATTCCCTACAAATAAACCTATTCAAAACTTAATTTCATATAACCACACAACAAAAACAAACTTTAAAATGTTCAATTTGATTGAAATAAAAATGAGATGTGAAGTTGAAGGGAGATAATTCATTGAGTTACCTCCCCATTGACCACATGCATTATATATGTGCTGCTGCTCCACAAGTGAACTTACCCGTGCTGCACCTCCTTGCATAACCCTAGAATATTCCATGTCAATTTTCCGGTATTGTTCATCAGTTCTTGGGGTAATTGGATAGTCATCATCATCATCACCATCTAAACTGTCATTGCCTCCTCTATGATCTCTTTTGTTCAACATCTTTGAAGATGAAATAAAACGAAAAATTATATAGTATAAAATATAATAATATAATCAACCGTTGAATAACTAACTATAGCACGAGTGTAGCATTCTAAAATAAAAATAATTCCATGACTGTAATTTTTGACTACCTAATCTTTATGATACATGTACCCTGGATAAGCATGAAAATGATTAATCCTTGTACAAGTACATGTACTCCTAAATTTTTGACAGTAAAATTCATGCTGTGCACATCCACAGTATTAAAAATATAGGACTGAAATAAATGACCTATGAATTACATGTATATATATATAAAATCACATGACTAGTGATTGCATACAAGATTTTACCACCTGGCCATAAATACCAAATAGAAAGTTTTAACTCTGCATAAACATGACACATTTGACAAGCTGACTTGATTTGTACATGTACAGTAAACAGTGTAATCAACTGCCAACATTATTGACCATTTCAGTTATTACTCTTTATGTTCATTGGTTACACCAAGTTTTAACATTCTACCTCAATTAGAAGAAAATTTATCGTTCCCAAAAAGAGTGACGGACAAACAGACCCATTTTAATAGTCCCCAGCAGGGGACAGAGTGAGAGAAATAGGGTTTAACGTCCACTTGACACAAACTAGGTCATTTTGAGACTAACAAATGGTTCAATTTTATTTCAATAATTCGCTTGCAAGTAGTAGTCTTTAGCAGTGGGAGGAAACCGGAGGACCCGGAGAAACCCACGAGGTTGGACAGATGACCCTACTACTTGTCACGTACAACCGAGGAATCGAAAACATACTAGTTGACTCAATGACAGACCTTGTGATACAGCGCGCACGTGCTAACCATTGGGCCATCCACTAGATGGTTAGATCTTCATGTACTGTAGGCTATCAAAAGTATAAAAAGATAGGTTGCCAGGCAACAAAAGATATGCCTACAGCACCTAAATCATCCGGGCAGTCAACAAGAGTTGTCGCATATTTTTACTATTGACAGTAATGAAACATTTACAATACACTAAAATCTGATTATAAGAGGAACAACTCATTAAGTAATTATCAGAAAATCATTAGAATTCGTTTGGCCCATGCCAACGTTTAGCATACAAATAATTTAATACCATGGATTTAGCTGTTCAAGTCATCGAAACGATTATATATAGGCGTAAACATGGTGTATCAATATAAAGTCAATTGGATATTAACTATAGCCTCTAGAGAAACCACAAGATTTTTCAAAATGATCAAAGGCCATAACTCTGGCAGTAATTATCGAAAATCGATGAAAATCCATAGGCTTTTTCATCTCATGACCTTAAACACTGGGTATAAATTTAAAGACCTACGTTCAGAGCTGAACTATGGTTTGAACAGCAGATTAAAGAAATGTAAAACAATACATGTACAACTTACCTCTACAATATCTCTGTTAGTCTGACTGACAACATTCTCATTATATTCAGTATATTTCAACAATACTTTATCCATATCTGAACTAGCATATTGATATAATTTGTTGTTTGTTGTAAAGATGATTAGAGCTATCTCACAGTCGCATAAAACACTTAATTCATATGCCTTTTTCATCAATCCAAACTTCCGTTTCGTGAAGGTTACCTTAATACAAAAACCAAGCAAATTTTTATTATTCTGATGCAACAGAAATAATCACAAAAGTATACTTTACATTGTAAATATTTACATACAACTTAATGAAAAGTACTAATAATAATATTACACGTAGAAATTTAATAATAATGGAAAAAACAAAACCTTAACAAACTTACCTGTCTATTTCTCTCATCGTTAATTCTTGTAATCTGTATTTTCTTTCGTCCCATCTTTGAACAAGTTTGTGAACCTAAAATAGACAAGTTCAAAAACATCAATTTACAATACAGAGGAGAACAAAATAATAAAGGCACCAAAAGTTAGTTAAAATTTGACTTTTTACTCACTCATGACATCTTTTAATATATATGCTGATACTAATAGATGAACAAAACTGTTCAACTTGTACATGAATGTCAGGGAAACCCCAACATCTAGGCTATTTATAGTCATTATGTCAGTGTGATTAGGTCAGCAAGCTTGTCAACCAATAAGAATTATCTATCAGGGGCAATCACTCTATTCAATAGATACTGTTACAAGCTGCTAGTACAAGGATATAAGTAAATAATCGGCTTAAATTTAAAATCTAATTTGTACTATCTCCAAACAGCACACTATCAATACATTAACAAATCTCCCTTCCACTATCATGATACATTTTGTACACCATTACCATTTCATGAATAATATACAATCTACTGTCATTATTAAACCGACTTTAAAATATTTAAAATGGTTAACGATTGTATGAAATTGAATTTTGTTTTATATACAGATATGGTAGCAATGTAATTTGGATTTTCATGCAAATCGGTAAAACATGATAGGGAACATCGCATTAAATACCCTAAATGTATTACATTACATAATGTATTACATTCTCATAATTGTCAGGAACTAAACTCCACTACCAATAACATTATTTGTTTTGTACATGTAATTAAGTCCTGTTTGTTAAAAGCTTTGCTGAGCTATTTGTATGGTTACATACACTTTTTTGACTTTTAGAATGTTAAGGTTTATTGCTCATCTATAAAAATGTATGTAAATCTGATGACTTTCAAAGTCTTCTTACATCACAATACCAGTAGGTTTAAGCTTATTCTCCACATTATAAAAAATAGTTACAGATCAGCCTATACAGTGGGAGGTGGGGATGGAAGTGAGAGGGGCTACAGCCACGTACATGTACCCCCCAACATGTATTTAGAGATATGCTGCTAACTAAAACGAGGAACATTTTCCAACCCCAAAAAGCAACATATTTTTAGTCAAACTTTATTGATAAATCTGGGGAAATATTTGACAGGCCTCCTAGTCATCTGGCATGTTGCACCCCTTATACACCTTTCTGATTTCCATCCACTAGAGATATTGTTATCTAAACATTTCTGATAAGTTGGTAAGCCTCCTTTTTGAATATTCAACATATTCATTTAAACCTGACCCAAATATAGTGTCAAGGTAGCATAGGCCTACATTAGAATTAGAAGTTGATTCCCTTTCTTGTTGAATCTTTATTTTATGAAAGTATGAGTAATTCATCTCTCGATAATTACATTTTTGGGGTAATGACATTTATTCGTTCAGAAAAGTTGGAATGGTAGTACTCAATAACTGAATTTATATCTTTATTAACACATTATTAAAATCTGAAATGCAAGATATGAGTGTTACTAGCTATTTGCAAAAATGTTTACACCAGAATTGAAGATGACTGCTTGGCTAACTAAAGCAGGCTCTTCAGTCTGTCTCACTGTCTTGGGTTACAGTGTAAAGCCTATCTTCAAACTTTTGTTTACCTTTGTTGAAAATTAGAAGTTTATTTTTCTTTTTTCAATAGATCTACATAGTTCCAAAATTTATGCAAAAACTACACCAATAACAATTCATTAATAATTATCTAAATTCATGAATACACTTGAGAAAGTTAAAAGTACGAAGTCGAATGAAGAAATTCTTCATAAAATGGTGAGAGTTCAACCCATACCAATGTCATCTCAAAAACGGCATTTACAAACCAAGTTGGCCATTTTCTCACCTCAAATCATTATCGAACATAATGACCTATATAATAACTAAATTTTCTGATAATCTTACCAAAACAATACCACGAGATGTGCTAAAATATCCAAGCGGTTTCTATTTTTACTGTCCAGTAAAATGTTGCTCAGTAAAATCTACAACTTGTTCTATTTTAGGGAATGGAAATTACGATGGTATTTATAGAAATAATCCAATATGGCTTTTCATGCGCATGACACATATTCTATAAAGTGTCGGGTTACATAAAAATCTCACCATAAAGGAAATCACGACTTTAGAGTTAAATAAATTGTTTGTAATACGCTATTGTTGTGATCTATTCTACTCTAATTTTATTTGGAAAGCGTATGTATCACGGAATGTAACAAACACATGGAGATATTTTTAGTTGGCGGACGCTTATATATGGGAAGTTTAGCTCTTTCTAACGTAATATCCGGTTTGCTGAAATTTGTCTTATTGTACGTTGATCAGTGTTAATTTTTGTCACGTAATCAAAATTTATTGACATTATTAATAACAGTTTTCAAATGAAATCTAAAACGCGGTCAATCAGTTGCCAAAGATGCCGCATGAACGTACCCTGGCGGGAATCCGTGTCACATTTAATGACGTCATTGTAATCGCGCACCTCGCGAGCAGTGAAATAGTTCGGTCGATATGACCCAGTTTCAGGTTGCGCCCTCGCTCGTTTCAGAAGTCGCTCGGACGTCTATATGTTTAAACATGCTGAAAGTTCAAGAGGTTGGTCCGTTTTAAGAATAGAAAATAAATATCTCTTGTATGAAGAATGTAGTTTAAAATTTAAAAAAAAAACAAAACAAATAGAACCCAATAATGTTACATAATTAATTTATTGGAATTAATCTGGGATATATCATATAAACAAATTTAAAAAAAAAAAGTTTTTGTTATTTTTTGTACGTAGGACTACATAAAAAATTAAGAGGTCTGTGCGCTGTCTGGTGCGCCAAAATTAATGGCGCTGCGGTCGGTTAGAGGCCTACTCATTACCCAATTCTTTAGATCCGTTGCATTTGAATTTGAATAAATTCTAAATTGATCGACAAATTAGACACATTGGCTATTTGTCTATTTGTGCATTGGACTGGAGAGTTGAAATAATACTCTTTTGTCGTAACTTTGAAATTCCGACTTAAATAGTAAGTGCAGGGGGGCTGCACCACACAAAATTTACACAAAAACAAATACACGGACACCAACTCCTCAATCACCCAAAGTCTTTGACATTGAAAACACGAATAAATTTGTCAATTTAAATCAACATTGATGGTGTTATCTTACCGAGAAAAGATGGGCTTCTGATATCCAATATTTAAGACAAAAGAAAAATTTTACCATTGGCAGGACTACACGTATCGTGTACCACAATGCGTTTCAGCGCCATTTGTAACAAGGGACTCGAAGAACGAGGCTAGACATATTCCACAAGTTATGCCAAACGGTGACGCAATATTCTTATCTGGAGAGCATGCGCAATAAATACTATCGGTATAGACTGGAATAACCAGACGCTAGAGATTGCCATTCGAAACTGATTTGAAATTAGAGTAAAAACGGAAATGATTGAATGTAAATCAATTTATATACATTCATATTACATTATTATATGCGTAGCGACCCGTGTGTTAATTTCTAGGTCCCAAGTTATATATATAAGGCAAAAACAAGGAGTTGTCTGCATGCCACCATGCTAGCACCAGTATAAAACTATGGAAGAACGTGAGATATAGATACTTATTTTCGACAACCTTCTGAAGTGTCTGTAGAATAGAATTTTACTGCACCTAAACGCCCTTTTAGAGCAGCATAAAGGTAAAACATAAAAGGAGGCCTACTTATTACACGGGCACAGATTCACTGTTAGACAATACGTCCGGAGCATACATACAAGATTCGGTACATTATATAAATGCTATAAAATATAAAAATAACAATAATAATAAATATATGCTGCAGAAAATAGTATTATGTGGATATTTAAATCATTATCTCTCCTCCAAAAAGAGAATTACACTCGGGGCTATAAATAATAATTCTTGGTGGATTGAAGAAATTATTAAAAGGAAAGATTAGATCAGCATTTAGGATTGGATATTGTTTTCGCAAATCTTCATATTTTGGCACTGTTTGTACGATATGTGTCACCAATCTCAAATTTTAAGCACGATAAACAGACGTATCTTGTTCAACAAATATTTTCACAAGAACCATGTAATGATTTGGGTCTAGCTTGCAAATATTCCATGCCGCAAAACACACGTAAAGAAAGGCCTCAAACTGAGCCGCATTTGGTATAATCAATGAAATTATACGTTCATAAAACCCATCCCAGTTCCTTTGGATATAAATATACATTTTCATCAAAATCGGATAAAATTGTCTGTAGAATGCACAGAAACAAATGTGCACACGCACAGGGATGAAGGATGACTAAATCTATTTGTTATGGCCAGCTCAATTTTCGTCATGTTTTATAGCACCAAAGAAGTGATTAAGAGTATCTGACACAAATCCAATTCATTAAATTTTAAAAAAAGATTTAAATCAGTTTTAACAAATTATAAGAAGAATAAGAAGGCATTAAACATTTTCTTTTATTACTTTTTATCTAGGACCCTTTTTAAGAAAGACATGTAACCTAAAAAGAGGATTTCTGAAAAGATGTATATTGTAATCAAAGATTAGTACTATTTTGCAGCCAATTACTCAGTCAGCCAATCAATCAGTCAGTTAGATTAAAAGACAATAAATAGTCTGACTATAATTCAATCTTAATCTCAAGGTAACAAGTGACAAACCAATCAATGACCTTCAAGTATCTCATCATTTTATGGTTACTTAAAACTAATATATATTTTGTTTTAGGGTCATGCTGAATAATTTACCAGTTATTATACAATATATTATAGACAAACTATTTTGATTGATTAAAAATTTTAAAAAATTACTTAAAGGAAAATACAGTTAATTAACTATACTTTTGGTTCATTTTTGAAGTCATGCAGTGGAAATGCCAGTTTTTGTCACCACTGCCCGTCGCTATAAAATTTGCCTTGATGTTATAATTGCTAGAAATAACAATTCATAAACAAATATCTATTAAGTGAATCAACGATTATTTTGACCTTGATTTTATAGGCGCTTCATGGCAGAACAATATGGTTGTCTTTTTAATTTCTATGAAAAATGTTTTTTATTTATATAGTCATAAAGTAATGGGTAATGGTAATTAATCACTTTCAATGCAAGGGGTAATGGTAATTAATTACATTGCTAAACATGAGAAAGTAATTGTAATGATTACATTTAAAACGTAATGTTAATGTAATTAATTACATCGGCAATGTAATGGCCCCAGCCCTGGGCGTTGGATTCGTTTTGCAAAATTTGCAGACTAAATATTAACAAAATAATTGCTGTCCTTAGGCCTATGGTATAAAGAAATTAGTCCGGTGGCTGAAGGGGTGGGGGATCGCCACCCGAGCTTTGAATTTAAGAAACCCAGTGATTACGTTTCTAGTGTAAGGAAAGATTTGTAATATAAGAATCTTCAATGAAAAAAATGGAATTAAAGAGTTAGAAGGTTTAATGGATCCATGTGATTTAAAGCGTCGACACGTGGATCCAAAATTTTCACAGTCTACAACAGAATACAATACAGAACAGCTGTATTCATCCGCCAAAAAAAATAGTACCTAAAATTCATGTACATTATATAGGTTTAAACGTCAAATGAGGTCAAATGAATAGAGCCGTCTTTAATATATACTAAATATTCGTATCATCCCAAATCGACAATAAAACAGTGAGAAAAAGGAAAATCTAAGTAATGGCAATCTAATTAACATAAAATTTACGACATAATCGATTCTTCAATGTTTTGATGGTGATCATGAAAAAAATACATCTTTTCTCAGGAATCCGATAAGATTTTCAAAAAAAAGATCACTAGAATTATAGATTGTTATTCCACAAAGTCGAAAGGTATGTTAGATTTTTCATTCAGTCAAGTTAGAGCGAGTTTATTGCCGTCCTTTGAGCTCCAAACCCGATAGAAATGAAGGCGGAAGTGGCCATAATAGTTTTAGAGATCACTACGTGATGGCGCTCCTGCGTCGCGACAAACGGGGCCGATTTGTCAAGTTTTTCTAGACCAGGTTTTTGTGTAGATTCCGAATCTGAGTTGTGATCAGGCGTTTGAGGGTGCGTTTTCGAGATATGGGGGGGGGGGGTGTCCAATGTCTACAATTGGGGGAAAATGTGATTATGTTGACATAAATGATGATCATGTTATATAATTATTAATAAAACATAAATTTCTAGGACTGCCCATCTCTAAATAAGTGTTTATGATGCCCCTGGAAAACTGTTTTGATTTGTAGCGAGGTGGGGTGGGTGGTTGCTGGTGTGTGGAGGGGGGGGGGGATTGGCGGGATTAAACGAGTTCACGTCGATTTAAATGATGATATTCCTAGAGCTTGATGAAACATCTCTAAATATGTTTATACCATTCCCATTGGGTGGGGGTGGACGTCGGGGTGTGTGCTCGCGGGGGTGGTGGTAACGCATGTGTTTTTGTGGACAGAAATTATTTGGTTCAAAATTGACCTTAAAAGTGGTTTCTCGTTTTTCGTTCATTACCTATTTCGTCATTCAATGTTTAGATATTAGTTTATTCTTAGTCTTCATCAGAAGATTCAAAATCAAAGTTCATAATATGAGCGGGATAAATATCTTCTTGGTGGCTGACTGACAGCTCGCATTATATCCTTTGGATATGCTTCAGATACCAATTCACATTGCAAATCTTCTTTCCAGTCATGCGGCAAAAGACGACTACGGCAAGGTGATAATAAAGAAAGGTCTGTTATTTTTTCACCCAGAAAATCTTTCTTCTAGCGTTATCTACTTATGTAAGTCGCCTTTCGCGATATTTTCTTCCTTGGCCCGTCTCATTATCGATCAAAATGTGTATATTTGGATCATTGCTAGGAGAATGATTGAGATGTCTATTTCGATCGAGCAAGAATGCAAAATACAATTTGTTTCAGCGCTTCCATTAATTTGCAATGCGAAGAGGAGTAGGTAAGCTATTTTGGTGTCCTTGTGGTTTGTTGTCAGTTCTAGTATATTCTCAACACTTTCAATACTAATCTTGATATATTTTTTTGATCCAATCAAGATTAGTATTGAAATGAAATGAAATGAAATGGAGTATAGATGTCACTAGAAGAAAGATTTTCAGGAGGAATTTTAATTGTGATGAAAAATAACAAACCAGGGGCGTAAATGTGGGGATGTGGGGGTGTGTGGGTGGGTGGGTGGTACACCCCCCCAGGAAAAAAAATAGTCGGTCGCAAAATCAGTGCAGTCGGTCGGAAAATAAGAGCAGTCGGTATCAAAATAAGTCTCACTGCACACGTCACGCTACTCACGCAAAACTTTAGTATAAAATAACCTTGTCAACTTATCATGTTTGAAAAAATGTTGGGTTTCACTCTTATTCTGTTGTGAGTATGTAGGTCTAAGAACAAAATTTCCCCCAGGGAGAAAAATAGTCGGTCTCAAAATAAGTGCAGTCACTGCAGTCGGTCTCAAAATTATGCATCGCCGTCTTAATGAATTAATGAGGTAAACAAATAATGCCAGAATAGATCCCAAATACTAGTCGGTTGCAAAATCAGTGCAGTCGGTCGTAAGATATGAGCAGTGATCGGTATCAAAATAAGTGCTCACTGCACACGTCACTCTACTCACACAAAACTTTAGTATAAAATAACCTTGTCGACTTATCATGTTTGAAAAAAAATGTTTTTCACCCCATGGCAAAAAAATAGTCGGTCTCAAAAAAAAGTGCTCACCGCAGTCGGTCTCCGACTAAATGAATTAATGGGGTGTTTTCTGACCATCAGAATTCTGCAAAATCTCTCCCCAAAGTCCAGGGCATTTCAGAGACCAAGTAAGCGCCCCATTGAGGTAAAGTGCCCTCAAAAATTAAAAGCTCAGTTACATATCGGCGCTCAATTCCATTATGCCATCATTCTTCAACTCCTTATCTGTCTTATACTATCTCATCACTATAATATTCACAGTTACAGTGAATCGCCCAGTTAGTAGTACCACTAGTGAGTGAGTCGTGGGTCAAAAGGCTGTAGAATTGTTAGTTCTACTCTCACAACACAGGCGACATTGACAGATAGGCCTCAAGATTCTGTCTCATTTCTTATCCTCTCGTTAACGAGAATTTGGATCCATTTGCCATGACATTGACTAAAATGTCAGGCCCAGTCCCAAAAATTAAAAGCTCGGTTACACATCTGAAATTTTTTCGCGCCTGCGGCGCTCGATTCCATTATAACATCATTCTTCCACCCCTCTGTTGTCTTATACTGCCTCAGCACTATCGTATTCACGGTTATACTGAGCTGCCTAGTTATGTTAGTAGTACCACTGGCACTGGTGTGTGGGTCGTGGGGCGTCAAAATATACAAAAGTTCTGTCAACTCTTGCAAAACAGGTGGAATTGACAGGGGCACATCTCGAGATTTTGTCTAATTGACTCACATTTCTGGTCCTCTCGTCCACAAGAATTTTTCCCAGCAATGACCTCAAATGCCAAGATATTGACTCAATTTTTCAAAATTTTCTCAGGTTGCTCAGTGTTATAGGCACAATCATATATGACATAAACTTTATAAAACTGCTTTCCAGCGAGACAACGATCGGCAAACAACTATATAATTATACTATACCATCTATGTTCTACCGGGACGCTTAATGTTATAGCCAGTATTTTGTTGAGATTCATTGTGGGGTGGGATTGTGGCTGGGGTGGCGCCCTAGATTTGGACCCCCTCACCCCTATCTAGATCCGCTACTGCACATGGCCCCTACAAAACTCGCACCTGTGGTGCTCGGCTCCTGACTGCGTCACTCGTACTAGGGGTATGGGCATAAGTCGGTCGCATTTTGGCTACCCCCCCTCCCAAACAAAATCGTTATGTACGCCCCTGTAACAAACCTTTCTTTCTTTATTAACATCTTGCCTGAGTAGTCTTTTGCTGCACATTAAACGCAATAATTATGTTGAAACAATATGGAGACAGGCTGCAAAACCAATGATCGAACAAGATGACCCTGCGATACAAGGCTGGAATGTAGATTTACAATGTGAATTGGTATCTGAAGCATATCATATCCAAAGGATATATGCGAGCTGTTGATTAGCCATCAAAAAGATATCTATCCCGCTCATATTATGAACTTTGATTTTGAAATCTTCCGATGAAGACTAAGAATAAACTAATATCTAAACATGTCTCTAATTTACTGTGTTTTTGTACATTTCCAGATCTCTTTAAAAGTATCACTATAATTTAATATTATTATTTGGAAGGGCGAAATTGGTACAGAACAAAAAAACAATCTGATTAAATTACAGATGTATATTTCGTTTCGTGTTTTTATACTTTCGATAGCCTACACTACATGAAGATGTGACCAGTTGTACTGGGAGGTCACGTCAGGGGTCATACGAGCGTCTTTTGACCCTAAAACGTCAGACATAGATTAATCAATCAACGTTTCTAGGGATTTACCCACAGTTCTGTGCAGAGCACGCTAAGAACTCGCCGTAACAGACCGTTTCATTGGCTAATTCCTCACATCAAATAGACCGCCTGTTATATAACAACTCTTCCAGATCCTAGTGGTGAAGACAGGTAAAACGAAATTTTGAACTATAAAAAACGAAACGAAATAGCATCTTGTGTTTTAATCAGATTGAACGAAAAAGCTAACGAGAAAACACTTTTTAGGTCAGTTTTGAACCGAATGGTTTCTGCCCCTAAAATTACATTTTGCCACCCGCCCCATACAATGGGGATCTTTCACACATATTTAGAGATGCGCAGCGGAATTAAAAAGTAATGTTTTTACCAAGCTCTAAGAAAATCATCATTTAAATCAACCCAGTTTTCGCCAATTTACCCCGCCCCCATCCATACACGCACACCTGCTACCACCATCCCACCTCCCCACAAATTAAAAGAGTTGTCCAGGGGCATCATATACACTTCTTTAGAGATGGACAGCGCTAGAAATTTATGTTTTATTAATGTATAACATGATCATCATTTATATCAATATAATGACATTTCCCCCAATTGTAGACATTGGACCCCCACCCATATCTCGAAAAAGCCCCCTAAAACGCCTGATCACCACCCAGATTCGGAATCTACGCAAAAACCTGGTCTCATAAATTCACAGCTCGGGTGGCGATTCCCCCACCCCCTTCAGCCACCGGACTATATGCCAAGTTCCAAGGTGATCAATTCAGAATTCCAGCCTGTAGACAAAAACACAAACATTAGCCTGGCTCTGCCCCTGGGGGTTCGACATGGACCAATAATATAAATAGGTACAACCCTATGATGGATCATGCCAAAATGGAACAATTTATGTTAATTTGCAATTTGCAGACTATAAATAATATTAACAAAATAGTGGGGTTTGGGGCATGCACAGAAATAAATAATTGCTCTCCTTACGGTATAAGGAATAGATATGCCTAGTTCCAAGATGATCAATTCAGAATTCCAGCCTGTAGACAAAAACACAATTAAGCATTGGCCGGTCTCTGCCCCTGGGTATTCGACATGGACCAATATAAATAAGTACAACCCTATGATGGATCATGCCGAAATGGAACAAAATATGTTAACTGCAATTTGCAGACTAAATATTAACAAAATAGTGGGGTTTGGGGCATGCACGGAAATAAATAATTGCTGTCCTTGCGGTATAAGGAATAGATATGCCAAGTTCCAAGATGATCAATTCAGAATTCCAGCCTGTAGACAAAAACACAAACATTGGCCTGACTCTGCCCCCGGGAAGCCGACATGAACCACATAAATAGGTATAACCCTATGATGGACCATGTCGAAATGGAACAAAATGTGTTAATAACTGCAACCTTTAGAATATTTACAGACAAAATATTAACAAAAAAGTGGTTTGGCACTACCCAAGGATTAATACCATTGATTTACAGCATTTTAGGACTTTCTTTTCCGGAAAAGCTTGTGAAGACGATACAAATCAGATTTCTTGAAGGCATAATGGATTTTTACTTATTTGGTCAACATTCAAGTTTTCTTTTCTGATAATCTGCTGCCAGTGCTATCCATCAATTTTAGAGACATAGCTGCGTGGCTATATTGACAAAGAAATGTGGGCCCAAAAGATGCTTTTACGGACTGCGGGGGATAGAACTGCAAACAATTTTAACAGCAAAACGGATTACTCGTCCCGGCGTCGGAACAACCGTCGTTTGCTTCTACCCCGTCCGGCCGCCATTACGACCTTACCACCACGCCACTGCAGGTAAACATGTTCCTTGTCACGCCCAGACAAGATCAAAACCATGAAACACAAATTCTAGACAGACCATACGATTTAATGCGAAAATATCTTTGGTGAAATAATAACACAAGATACATTACATGTGAGATCAATTTTATAAACACTTACTCATTTATTTCATTTTAAATAATATTCTTTTATTATTGCAAAATATACATGTCGAATAGATTGTTTTAACGAATGTCATGTTACAATGTATGGAAGTCATGATAGGGTGATTGATTTTAATTGAAGAAAACACCTCCAACCTTCATGGGACAAAACAGAACAATTGATGGTTTTCACCTGTATGGGTAAGCATGTGGGTGCTATTTTCATCGAAAATAAATTGTATTATCGGTTGCTGTCTAGCCGCAACTAAACATTTGTACATGGATAAGCCTTACTATTCATTTAATTAATTGTTCTTAAATATATAACATGGAATTCAACCAGAAACAAATTAGCACTATAAGAAATCTAGATTTACACCGATTAGTGCAAGACTATACATAACATCAAATTTTATTTTCAAATGTCCCTTTTCTCACATTCAATATGGAATTATTTTTAATAAAATAAAAACCACTAACAAAAAGATGATCCATACAGGTCAACAGTTATTGACTCAAATCCTTTGCCTAAATCCTCTAGACTACTTTAAATTATTCCAGTTTCTGGTTTTTATGACAATATTAGTTTGTCTTTTGCATGGCAACGGCATTATCTTAATTAACATGGCAACATATAATTACATATTAACAAAAGTTTACACATAATATAAAATAAATACATTTTAATCATAAGATTGTTAGAAAGAAAACATTTTGATTGAGAATTGGCCCAGCCCTGCAACTGAGCTTCTAGGTGTTGCACCACTCGAAGATTCTGTTCTGGTATGTTTAAATTTTTTATTTAAAACAACGTTGAAAGCTATTGCATTTATTCTGATTTTTTGGCATCTGGAATCATAGCTGCCACTCCAGCTGTGTCAATGGCCAAACAATGGCTAATTCACCAAATGAAAGACTTGACATGGACATGTATATATAAATAAATTCTCTTAATAGCATTCACACTATGTATGATTTTGACTAAGGGTTCTGTAACAGCACTGGGAACAGTCATCTAACCATCACCACAGCCTTCTTTCATCCACCAATATTTACATTATATACATATTATAGTACACAAATAACTTTAACCTGAGAACTATGTTAGACATCTTTTTTTTTTTTAAATTTAATTTAACATAACCATCTGCCCACTTTCATTGTTCATAATTGAGAAGAACTCTGGATCGTCTAAAACGAAAGAAATCAGTCATTTAGTTATGCAAAATTGACAAATAGCAGATAATTTACTATTGAAACTTACCTGCATATTCATGAACTCTAAGGAATGAGGTTCAGCAACTGATTAATTATTTCATTTTTAGACTTAACATATGGTAATTTTATAATTATAAGTGCTCTACCAGAGCAGAAAATTTTACCTGGATGATGGTATTTTCAATTTATCGTCTAAAATTTGAAACTGTTTAAAGGGACTTTCAAGATTCAAAGCAATCAACTGGTGGATCTCGTTTATCTATATAATCAAAATGACTGTCTAGGTCAGTGGTTCTCACACCTTGGAACACATGAAAAAAATAGCAGCACGCCCGGCTAAATATATATGAAAAATATTTCAATTTTGCAAATCAGACGGCATACAACCGGAGACACATAGAATGACTTATTATGAACTTATCAGTAGACGCATTTTCTTAGTGTGTCGTTCAAAATTTCGCTGTACACTTAAGAAGATCTAGCAGTACACCTGTGTGCTTGAGTATCACTGGTCTAGGTACCGGTACACATTCCATGTCAGAAGTATAGGAGCAACTCCTGATAAGTGGACCCTAAAGATCCTTCTGGGTCCAGACTACTGGGATTTTTCTATTAATAAATCCACTACAGAATCAGCTCTTTTCAGCCAAAAAATTAACAAGTGGTTGCCATTCAAGATACGACCACATTTTGCAAGAGAAGGACATAGAACAAGCGTTTTTTTCCCGTACAATCAGGGGGCATAATCCAGGAAGTTACAATCCGAAATGCGCGAATATTGAAAGGAACCAAGATCTTTGGGATATAAACCTATATTTTAAGTTTCATCCAAATTTTGGCCTCTACAGGGTCCACAACCTTGTTATTACATACTCTAACACGACATCTTTGGGTTATAAACATACATTTCAAGCTTTATCTAAATCAGATCAAAATTGTGACCCCTAGAGTGCCCACAAGCTAAAAACGTATAATCAGGGGCCATAATCCATGAAGTTTCGATCTGATACATGCCAATATCAAAAGGAACCGAGATCTTTTGGAGATAAACCTATATTTCAAGTTTCGTCAAAATCGGATAAGAATTGTGACCCCTTGACTGTCCGCAAACAAACTGTGGACGGACGTACAGAAGCGCCGACAATATACGTCCACATGAAAATGTGGGCGTATAAAAATGAATGGATCATTGTGAGAAGGAAAGATATTAAGACATTAAACAGAGCTTCAATACCAAACAGAACAGCAGTAATAAAAGAATTTAATGTTGGAACAGTGTATTTTAAAGTCCTTAAAATAAGAAGAATATGTATTCTTAAAATTATAACTTGGCGCTAAACATATCTTCTTATTTTATTTAGACATATGAACAGTGCTAATCAACAGAATTTTAGGTGTGCTTCCACAATGAAGAAAGATAGGACCTAAGAAAACATTTCAGTCACAACTGATAAATTTTGCTCCATTTCATTTTTGTTCATTAAATAATTTTGGGGATCTTACCCAGAAAATTTGGTAATGAGATTGAGTTAGGTAAGGTGGGTGTAATGTAATCAGTGCTTCTTGTTTCTATGGGAATGAGAGGGGGTGGCTCTGGTAGATTCCATGCTTTTGAAGGGTTGATGTTCTGTACTGGTGACTTTTGCAGGGGTGGAATCATTCTCAAATCCTCTGGATAGACTTGGTTAGAAAACATTCCAGTTACTGTTGTTGAGTAATTACTTGGGGGTGAAATACTTTCCATCCCACTCCTTCCATTTGGGACTGTGTAATTTTCTTGCATTCTGTCAAACTGAGGTAGAGTGCAGGTAATATCTTGGAAGTTAACTGGATATGGAGAAATTCCTAAACTTCCAGACGGTGAGAGGTCAAGTGCGTTGATGGAATCATTAATAATTATTGGACAAGCTGTTGTGTCAAACGATTGTGGTCTGAAATAAAAAAACTTTCCATCTCAAAAGTTTATCGCCACTAAACAAACGTCAGTGGATTTGATACCTCAACAATGTAATAACAATTCAGTTAACAGAACATCCAACATAATGTGCTACCCATCTGTACTGTTACATTTAACAATGGTAAATACAATAAACATAATCATCCAGCATGGTGTTGAATACCAGACATACACTGGTGCATTCTGTTATCATTTGTAACAATCCAAATCTACATTTACAATCCCAAACAGACAATCAAATTTACATTTTTTTTTCTATTAACATTTACACTATGACTAGGGTACAAAAAATCAGAAAGAAAGTAATTAGTAATTAAATGAATTTCAACTTTGATAGATGATGATATTAACGTGCCCTAATAAAAGTTATATTTCATGTAGGTAAAATAAAGAACAAAAGCCAGCTTTGATTTTTTGAATGATTTTAATTTCCATTTGTTTCACTGTATAGATATGTACAATATTTACATATATCTATCACTCTTTGGTCATATATAATTCTAATATGCACTAATATGACAAAGTCAGCCATGAATACAATATATACATGCTTTATAAATCATAAATATATATACATATCTTATAATCTTCGGTTCACAATGAATGAATGTCTCCAGTATGAAGCAATGTACAAAATGTAAGGATTTTTTTTGTCTGCTCGCATATTTAATCTTTTATAAGAGCACAATTAATTAACCATTCTATCAAAAATGTCCTCATCAAATTCACTTTTAAACTATAAATACTTGTTTACAATCTGATTAAAGCATAGACCCTGTTTCGTTTTGTTTTTTTATAATTCATTTCAGTTTTAGGAAGCATTTTTAAATAAATGTATAAGTCATTGAAATGGTCTGTTTAGTCAAGCTTTTGCCAAGGTGTGCACTGAATTATGGGAGACATCTACAGGGCAATAGAGAACAAAAGTATAGTTTATGGCATTCTGTCAAAGTTGACTTATGTGACACATAGAAACTGTAAAATAACACAAATTTAGGTCTGTACTTTAAATCAGAATAGTTTGTTTATGTAATAAATGATTCAATATACTTATTTATGTTAAGGGTCAGAGTTCCACCAAAATTTTAAAAATTAAACGAGCAATTGATGAAAACATTTGTCCATTATAAGGATGTGAATAAAGACATGAATATGAAATTAAGCCGAGACAGAATTCATGAAAACCCAGTCAATAGCATGGTCAATGACCAGTCAGAAAAGGTTATCAGTTGTGTTAAAATGATTCAGAAATTATTTTTAGCATGGGAAGAGCATGGGAATAGTAGAGTCACTGACAGCAAAATATATCTAAATAAAAATTGGAAGTCTCCATATTTTAGTAGTGGATGTATAGGAAATAACAATATGGTCAATATATAAATAGATCGCTGTGTGTAAAATCTGTGTATCCTTTTCACGCTTTTATCCTAAATTTCCCCATCTAAAACATCCATAAATTATTTGGATCAAATGCAAAATAAAAAAAAAATATCTGCAGGACTGATCACTGATTTCTTTGAATAAATGAAGAAATATGGCAAGATAAAACAAATATTTGTTTCACAAAATACACTACATTTAACACAATATAGAGATTACATTTATAACCGTTAATAACTTTGGACTTCTCCCTTTAGTCCTTTTGTTGAAAAATGATATTTACACACCAAAACAAAGCATTTAAATAAATATAAAGGTTTGGTTGATGGAAATGAAACAGGCATCGTCTTAAAATATGACTTTATTTATTACTGTACTACAAGTGTGTGATATTTGCAAGAAACTGAAGAATTTCTTATTAAAGATCACCTCCTCAAGGCCTCCAATCTGAGTATATGTAAAAGATATAACCAAGATTACAAATGAATTTCTTATTGTCATGATCCCTGAGCATGCTGTGATATAACTTATTTCATATAAGTATAATCTATTAATACCAGTTTAAATTATTGAGAAATTTTTCAAATTCATTGTCCGTTAGATTTTCCGTTCCTGGAGGGAATAAATCACTGGTGGATGGTGCATCCACTTCAACTAAAGAGGGCAGTGAGGGTAAAGTGGGTAGCGGTAATCCCAGTGATGAACTTGGACCAATATTACTACTAGGTACTAGGGATGGGTAATGAAATGATGGGAGGTTATGAGTTAGTGATGATGAGGAGAAGGGAGATATAGATGATTTAGGATGTGCAGGTGGTGGAGTCGAATTAGGTGTAAATAAAGGTGAGCGTGTGTTAGGACTGTTATTTAAATCTAACGATGAAGTGCTGCCTGGGCTACTAGACACTGACTGAGTGGACCCATGTGGTGGTGTCGGAGTGTCCAGGTTGATAATTCCCGGACTAACGCACCCTTTATCTGAAACTGATTTAGGAGCTACTACTTCTTCTTCTACTTCCTCTTCATCTGAACTATCTAATGTCAGATCTATAACATCAGGCTCATTTTTAACTGAAATAAAGGAAACCTTACATAAATGGAAATAAAATGAAATGGGATTTAATATCCTACATTTCTGCACCAACCTGACTAATGAAGACAAACATATTGAAAAGTTGTCAAGGGCCTTTAAAGGTGCATGCGAACAACTACACCACAGACAAGGGGGAAACAATAAAAGAAAATCCCAAGGAACATTTTTGGCCAACATTTGGATCGAACATTAGTGAGCCAGGGTTTCAGCTATAAACTTTGGAACACGCAGCCCCAAAACCTAATATAACATTTAGTCACAAAATCTTAGCCGTCTTCTTTTATCTTTATCTCTTTTCTTGTCTAAGAATAAATAATTACCTTCTATAGCTGAAGTAGATGATGGTTCGGGTTTAGTTGTTACTTTAACAACAGGACTAGATATAATATGTGTTTCTTTTGGTTGTTCCAATGGACTCCAATTGCCATCAGGATGAAATTGGATTTCAGAACATTCAGGAGATGCACGAAAAATCTCCAAGAAGTAACTGAAATATTGTATAATTGAAGTTATTCAAAAATGAAAATTGAAAAATGATTTGGGAAACACTAATATTTAGTGTGTGTCAATAATCTTTATGCCACTTTTAGAAATTTGTGGTAGTTGAGTGTGTTTTGAAAACTTGGGATTCTGTGGGTGTGATTCTTTAAAACTGTCCTTCATGTTTTGTGTGTAATTCTAAGGTTTGACATTAGTACAAATAAAATTTAATGCAAGTCCATAAAAAATCTGGCATCACAGAATATTTAGCATAACAGATGAAAAATTATGAAACTAACTTAAAAGGTATTTAATACATACCCATCAATGATTAGCTTATCAAAAGAGGCTGCTTTATCACAAACTGGACAAATCCATGTTGACTTCTTCTCATTCATCATTAAAAACGTATTAGCATCATAACATTGTAGATGTGTACACGTACTAGCTCTACATGGAATCTGTAATCTCATTTTACCAAGCTGCAAAATAAATATGTTGTCATATTATTCATATTAACAGTAAACAATCTAGAAGTTAGTATGTCTATGCATCATTTAAAGCCACTGATTGTCATCTGAATTTTTTTAAACAATATCTAATTTTTCATAACATGCTAAAATATACATAAACCAGTTATTTAAAATTTAATAAGAAAACAAAAAAAACCATATCAATAGTAGATAAACTTTCGGCTTGGATTCAGTAGAATTTTAAAAAAGGCCCTTCAAAAGATTTTAGTAAAGATTATAGGTGGTGCTGGCTGGTTTTGACCATATCTCCAGAATGCTGATTGTTGATAAATTTTTAATAAATCATTTTTGGACTAATAGTCAATTTAGTGATTCCACCTTCTCAACATTGTAGTTTACTACAGATTCAAAGTCTATGAAATAAAAATCAGAGTGGCTTTAATTTAAGAACTGTCGAGTTTTGGAAATCCTTCTATGTTTTTGTGAGTGATGGATTTAAAAGAAAGTATAGAGATTTTGATCTGACGTTAAGAAATAACAAAATATCTTACTGGACACATGAGTGATACCCTGAGACTAGTTGTAGCAATTTCACTGTCTGGATCGTGAACTAACTTTTCCTTGACTGCAGAAGAAAAAGTGAAAATAAAAATAAATAGCACATAACACATAAATAGGAATTTTTAAAAAAGTAAAAAAAAATATACCCAAAATGAAATAAAATACAAGACTGAAGTATAATTTGCTTGTATAACAAACTAGACCATAAGTTAGACTATACGAAGTAATAATTTTGCGAGAGTACACACAATATAAATTGATACCATCTCTTAGTTATACAATTCAGTTTCTATGGAATATCAATTTACACCATTACCTAAGGCAAAGAAACTATTTTCTTTTTTTGTCTTTTTTTTTATGGAGAATAAAGGGGTAAGATTGGATGGAACTACTTACTGTATATGGATATTAGCATTCATACTTTGTCATGTCATTTTAAATACATTTATTATATATTTCTTAGCATTTCTACCTTAATTACTGATTACGGTTCTGGAAATGCAAATGTGCTAATTACTTACTTAATGCTCGTGTATGATCTGGATGTCTGTTACCAAACTGTTTTAATCTTTGTAATAAAATATCAGATGTCAATCGACGTACAAGAAATACAGCTAAACAATATCCCTGTAAAAATAATTAAAGAAAACAATACATGAAATACTGTTCATAAACTATATTAAATATTCAAAAACCAAAATCAATATTAACAAGCCAACAGTGAGTGAGGCTGATATCATCAGCCGAAATCCCAAAATAAATAGATGACACATTGATTAATTGCACATTTATCTTTTTCAAAAGTATTCAGCAATCAAACTGATTATCTATACTAAGTCTAAGCATAAAATGTTCACATCAAACTAAATCAAGGTTTTGAAGTACCTGGTATTGAAACTATACACTAAGTTTTATCACTCTCCATCAGTTAGAATCAAATTTATCTTGTCCCAAAGCATTGACTAATGAAATTGCTTAGCTTTAGTGGGAAATGTTAATCGATGAACTCAGTCATTGAACTCTCCTAATGAACACCTACATCAAGTTTAAACATTTTACCTCAATTAAAAGCAGAGTTGTTAAGTTCCAAAGTTTTGACCAATCAAATTGTTTATTGCTACTTAGTCTACTAAGCAGAAAATCCTCATTATCGAACTTAGTCAAAGTATCAATGTAAAGAAACTATACACCAAGTTTCATTACCCTCACTTAATTAGAACTAAATTTATTTTGTCCCAAAGCATCAACCAACCAAATTGCTTATTTCTGTGTATCCTAATGAACCCCTACACCAAGTTTGAGAGAGAGAGAGAAATGGGGTTTAACGGCCACTCAACACAAACTAGGTCATTTTGGGACTAACATATGGTTTTGATTTTATTTCAATAATTCGCTTGCGTGTAGGGGTCTTTAGCAGTGGGAGGAAACCGGAGGACCCGGAGAAAAACCCACGAGGTTGGACAGGCGACCGTACTCCTTGTCACGTACAACCGGGGATTCGAAACCACGCCAGTCGACTCAATGACAGACTTTATGATACAGCGTGCACACGCTAACCATTCAGCCATCCAATCCCCCTACCAAGTTTGAACATTCTATCTCAATTAGAAGGAGAGTTATTGTGTTCCAAATTCTCGACCAATCAAATTGCTTATCGTTCTGCTTACCCTGAGCAGAAAATGCTCAGTAACGAACTTAATCAAGGCAATGATGTAATGAAACAATAAACCAAGTTTGATCACTCTCACTTAATTAGAAGTAAAGTTATCGTGTCCCAAAGCATCAACCAATCAAATTGCTTATCTCTGCAACAAAGTGAAACAAGGGCCATAACTGTAGAAATAATTGACAGAAATTGCTGAAATTCAATAGGATTCTTCTCTTGACTAATTTAAATGGCGCATATAAATTTCATACAGATCGGCAGTTAACTTTAGAGATTAGAGCGTTCACAAAAGTGAAACAAGGGCCATAACTCTAGAAGTAATAAACAGAAATTGCTGAAATTCAATAGGATTCTTCTCTTGACTAATTCAAATGGCACATGTAAATTTCATACAGATCGACAGAGCGTTAGAGCGTTCCCATTTTGCAACAAAGTGAAGCAAGGGCCATAAGTCTAGAAGTAATAAACGGAAAATGCTGAAATTCAATAGGATTCTTCTCTTGACTAATTTAAATGACACATGTAAATTTCATACAGATCAACAGAGCGTTAGAGTGTTCCCATGTTGCAACAAGGTGAAACAAGGGCCATGGAAATTGCTGAAATTCAATAGACTTCTTTGTTTCACTAATATAAATCATGCATATAAATTTCACAAAGATCGGGTGATAACTTAAGAAGAAATTAATGGAAATTGCTGAAATTCAATGATTCTTGTTTCACTAATCTAAATGATGCATATAAATTTCATACAGATCGGATAATACCTTTTGTTGTTGGAGTGCTCACAAAGTTCAATAAAGTGAAACAAGGGCCATAACTCTAGACTTAATTAACGTAAATTGCTGAAATTTAATAGGCTTTTTCGTTTCACTAATTTAAGTGATGCATATAAATTCCTTACAAATCGTATGATAACTTTTCTCGTTAGAGGGGGGGTTGGATGGCTGAATGGTTAGCGTGCGCGCGCTGTATCATAAAGTCTGTCATTGAGTCGACTGGCGTGGTTTCGAATCCCCGGTTGTACGTGACAAGGAGTAGGGTCGCCTGTCCAACCTCGTGGGTTTTCTCCGGGTCCTCCGGTTTCCTCCCACTGCTAAAGACCCCTACGCGCAAGCGAATTGTTGAAATAAAGTTAAACCATATGTTAGTCCCGAAATGACCTAGTTTGTGTCGAGTGGACGTTAAACCCCATTTCTCTCTCTCTCTTTTTTTTCTCGTTAGAGCGTTCACAAGGTTCAACAAAGTGAAACCAGGGCCATAACTCCAGACGTAATTAACGGAAATTGCTGAAATTCAATAGGTTTCTTTATGTCACTAATTTAAATGATGCATATAAATTCCATACAGATCGGATGATAACTTTTGTCGTAAGAGCGTTCACAAGGTTCAACAAAATGAAACAAGGGCCATAACTCCAAAAGAAATTAACGAAAATTATTGAAATTAAATAGGCTTCTTCATCTCACTAATCTAAATAACATATATCAATTTCAAAACAATCAGATGATAAATGTAGGCTGTAAAGTGTCCACAAGAAATTGTGGACGATGGACGGACATACGGACAAGGGCGACAGCAATATACGACCACATTTCCATGTGGGCGTATAAAAATGAATATATTGAAATTTTCATTCAAATTACTTTATTCTGAGCTAAGTTATGACTGTTTGAAGATGTACTGGACAAACAAGACTAAGTCTCAATTTTACATTTTATCATTAAATTTCTTAATCGAGCAGGCATTTTAATCCATTCAAATCCCTGACATCCGATTGTCTAGAGAGTTGATTATGGGCTTGTCATGTTGATGTCTAAAGAATAGTTTATATAACATTTGAAGCTCCCAAAAAAGACCTGCAATAGGCAGATTTAGCTCTTACATGATGTATCTTAAGAGAACAATAGTTACTGTTAACTCATAAAATCTAAAAAAAATGTATAATTTAGTTCTTGTGCAAGTGTCTGTAACTTGAACTTTCACCCAAAGACTAGAGTAAGAAATCGCTGAACTGGTTGGGAATTACTGATGTGCTTGACTGTACTTTTAGTTCTAGCGGTTTTTACTATGTATGAGCTGTAGTGAGATTTTCTTATTGTTGATATGTTATAAAATGCGGTTTATCTAAATTTATATATATCTACATCAGATAATTTATTGACTATAGAGTAAAAGATTCTGGAATGTTATAACATCCCCAAACATATTAATTTAATATTAATAGAATCATAAAACCTAATTCAGGGAAAAAAAAAAAAAAAAAATGACCAAGGGTTACTTATTCATGTAATAAACAAAACACATACAACTGTATTCAATTATTTTAGAAGCCTTCTGTGATGTATTTGAGTTTTAAGTTTATAATATTTGACATATATTTGGTTAATGCCTTGAAGTCCCAGTTTTAATTTTGCTCTGTAATAATATTCAAGATGTAATGACATTACAAAATATCAATACATCACCCATCCCTAGCTTGAAGGTTGTCAAAAATGTCACTTTTAAATATTTTCATTAAAAATCACTCCTTTAGTTCTCGGTCATATCAGTTAGTGGTTCTATTCTTTTTTCTTTTAGAACATAAGTCACTGTCATAACAAATTGGTCATGACTATGAGGACCTTTTCATTTTCAAAATCAAATATTTTTGTGTTTTTCAGGAATTTTGAGGACTTTTATATTCAATGAATGCCACATTTCTACCAATTTAAATCTAAGAAATTTCTATTATGGGCTTCATTAGTAGATAATGAATGTTTCTATTATTCCTATTTCATTCTTTTTGAAAATGAATATCTTCCAATTTATCTGAATGTTATCAACTGACAAAAATAGAAATAGTGCACTGAAATATTAATGTGATAAAAACTTAAACTATGTCATATATTCATGTATTAATTAATTCATGCAAATAAGAATATTTTTATCAAGAGAGAGAGAGAGAGAAATGGTATTCGAATTTCACACTATTTGCATACAAGGGGCGGCCATTTTGTCTGGCAGTTTTGGTCCGATTTTCACGAAATTTTAAATCGGATAAAAATTGTGACCTCTAGAGGGACCAAAAGCTAAAAACACGATTTATTGTAAATCAGGGGACATAATTTAGGAAGCTACCATCCGATATGCGCGAATTTTGAAAGTGAATAAGACATTTGGGTTATAAACATGCATATCAAGTTTCATCAAAATCGGATCAAAATTGTGACCTCTAGAGAGTCCACAAGCTAAAAACTTTTTCGTACAATCAGGGGCCATAATCCATGAAGTTATGGTCCAATACATGCGAATATTGAAAGGAACCAAGATCTTTGGGAGATAGACCTATATTTCATGCTTTGTCAAAATCGGATAAAAATTATGGTCTGTAGAGTGTCCACAAACAAATTGTAGACCGACGGACAGGGGCGACGACAATATACATCCACATGAAAATGTGGGCGTATAAAAAAAAGTGAACATGGAATATGATTATAAAACTGCAAAATTTTGTATTGCGATGCGTATTGTGAAAGAAATATATTGCAGTATATTAATTTTTACGGACAGTCCTGATGTAGGGTGGGGAACTTTTAGAAATGATAACAAATGCATTTGTTTCCCTGACTACTGAAACAATTTACATTTTAATTTTAAAATTCAGTAGAAATATTAGAATAGAAATCATGTTTAACTTAGTGATTTTAGTGAACAAGTCAACAGCGATGCTGACAGTTATATACCCGGCCTCAATCACTAAATAAAATAGATGACACTTATTAATAACTTGTACACTTATCTTTTTATAAAGTATCAAGCAATCAAATTGTTTATCAATCTGCATAACCTAACCATTATCAAACATAGTCAAGGTATTGATGTAATGAAACCATACGATTAACAACCTCTCACTCCACTTGCCACAAACTAGGTCATTGTTGAATAACATGGTACAATTTCTTTTTTAATAATTTACTTGTGCAAAGGGATCTTTAAGTGTGTGACGCTACTCCTCGTCACGTACAAGCTTGGGATCGAAACCACACAACTTGATTCAATGACAGACCTTATTATCTAAAGCACATGCGTCAAGACCTCTCAACTACAGAGGACAATAAAAAAAATCCACATTCTTATGACTTTTATGTGAAATTTCAATTTTGATGTACTACTGCCAACAAGAATATTAATTTTCAAATTGTTGATGACTAATTACTGGTTTTACAGTAAGGAGAAAATATTTCAATAGCATCACTTATGTAACCCCATCCCATCCTAATTCATACACTATTGTATTAAAACTTATTAACACAGCTAGTGGAGTTTGGTTGATTCAATCAAAGGAATCTATTTATAGCAAAAATTATTCATTAATACTAGTAACAGGTTTATTACAAATGGTTGTTGCAGCGACTTCCTATTTCTTTTCCTGTTTTTACAACCAGCTACTATCTTCTAAACCGGAATCAATTATATCAACATTATACAGAATTAAAACAGTGACCATTAAATAAACAAAATATTGTGTCTGTTGTAGGCCATCCCCACAATATCATGTTATAATGACATACATCTGATACCTCCACTACAATCGCAGGTTTAGTCAAACACTATAAAGATATATCAGATAAGAGAAGATGAGGTGATCCAAAAATAATTCTGGTTCTGAGAACAAACTGATGCGGCATTGAGGTTTCTGTGTTTTTATTTTGTCAATGGACCACTATTGGGCTATATGACTTCTCATAAACATCACTTCTCATCACATTGTTGAATGTATAATTATCCACTATCATTTATGATTGACATTTGTCAATTAAATCTATCAGGGTTGCATATTTGATAAATGAGCCTACGGTACATTAATGGATTCATTTGAAATTTTTTAATAGTGTCTTTCAATCAGATATATATTTCGTTCCGTTTTTTATACTTTGAATGACCTCCACTACATGACTAGTTGTAGTGGGAGGTCGTGTCAGGGGTCATACAAGCGGCTTTTGACACTGACATCTGATCAACCAATCAGCATTAGATGTTTTAATTGGGTATACAACTTTTGCTTTGTCTTCGTTGCGAATGTCTACCCACAGTTCTGTGTGCCGCACACCATTAACTAGACGCAACAGACAATTCCATTGGCTAATCCCTCACATCAACCAGAACACGAGTTATATAACAATGCTTCCAGATCCTTGTGTAGTGAAGGCAAGTAATCAGATTGAAATTACTTTCTGAAACATTGCGAATACATTTACATGTGGCAATTAATGAGAAAGTATTTAGTTTTTTTTAATAAAAGCAGTTCTTGCAGCTCTTTACAAGTGATGTGGAAGTATCTCAGAACCAGACCGTTTTGATATGGCCTTAATAACCAAATGTATTAATTGATAATTTGTTTTGTCATTGGATGTGATTAGCAATCAGATGTACACTGTAAAACATTGATATTGTGAAGATAGTTGTAGGTGGGTTAGTTTGGTCAAAACTAGATGTATACCAAGGCTTCTGCTTCAGATATTTTGTCAATCGGATATAAATATCACTAATAATATTATTGTAGAATTTTGCATGCATTATAGAATAGCATCTATAATTACAACAAAACCTATTATGAAATATTTTTATAAAGGAGAAAATATCATGCTAATAATATGAAATATGAGTGTTCTGTACAGAACATGGTAAAAATAACTTATTAGTGTTAATATAGCATGGCATAGCATAATTTCACCATTTAACTTAAATGACTAAATTCAATGTTTTGGTTTGTAACCAATTCTTGTTTCAGAACAGATAGATCACTAACACTAGTAACAATCAAACTTAATGAGTGTATAGAGGTTATTTACAAACAATTAATTGATGTTTTACGGTAATCACGTGCAGTAACAAAGAAACCATTAGAAGCTCAAAGAAGAAAATATGAAATTAAAGATCATGCATTGAGAGTATCAACAAACAATTCACAACGGTTGATATTGATTAAACATGTTCTTTTTATATTGATACAGTATCAAAGTAATCAGAACAGTAAGCCCACTTTATATTTTTTTATTATTAGTAAATATCCGATTGACACAAGTTTGACATGGTGATAAAAAGGTACCAGTCTAGGGGTGAAACAGAAACCTTGCTGTATACCTACCACCCCGTCTTCAGAAGACCACGATACAAGAATATTATTAGGCTTTGATGCCTTAAACTCTAACAGATCAGAAATGGTTAATGGACGATCACAGACACTTTTCTTTTGACATCTTGCTGTCTGAAAACACAGAAAATCCCCTACAACAACACACACAAATAAAACAAAACAAAACCTACCCGCCCAAACTCAGATGCCCAGGAAACATCTAAATGATTGGATATTGTTGGTGAGAGACGACAAAGTGACGTGATGTCAATTGCACGACCAGGACGTTTGGGTTCGATGCCAGGTTTAGTTGTAGGAATGGGATTCTGTAAGACATATAGTTGCAAAATCAGTTTTACGTATCAATAAAAAACAAGCGGTTACCAAGCAATTTACACCAACAATTTGCAAGAGATGGACAGAGAACAAGCCTAAAAAACAGAAGCGATTTTTTGTACAATCAGGGGCCATAATCCAGTAAGTTACAGTCTGATATGCGTGAATATCGAAAGGAACAAAGATCTTTTGGATATAAACATACATTTTAAGTTTCATCAAAATTGGCTCAAAATTGTGATTTCAAGAGGGTCCACAAGCTTGATATTACATACTTAAACACTAATGCGTACAAGTAGCGGCCATTTTGTCCAGCAGTTTCGTTCCGATTTTCACGAAATTTGAACTTAATCATTATTATGGTGTAACGGTAATATAATATTTGAACGTTTCTTTTTTAAATCAAATAAAAATTGTGAGGGACCACAAGCTAAAAACACAATTTCTGGTACAATCAGGGGCCATAATCCAGGAAGTTGCGGTTCAATATGTGCAAATATCGAAAGGAACTGAGATCTTTGGGTTATAAACATACATTTCAAGTTTATCTATATCGGATAAAAATTGTGACGTATCTAGAGTGTCCACAAGCTACAACGTTATTTTTTGTACAATCAGGGGCCATAATCCATGAAGTTTCGATCTGTTACATGCCAATATCAAAAGGAACCAAGATCTTTTGGAGATAAACCTATATTTCATGTTTCGCCAAAATCAGATAAGAATAGTGACCAATAGAGTGTCCACAAACAAATTGAGACCTGTAGAGTGTCCACAAACATATTGTGGACAGACATCCGGACGGACAGGGGCGATGACAATATATGTCCACATGAAAATGTAGGCGTATAAATATAAATTATGTAAAATATTTTAAGATAACAATATCTGGAACAAACTATAGAAAAGATAGGTTGCCCACAGCAGCTAAGTCGTCCGGAGAGTCAACAAGGGTTGTTGCATATTTTTTTCTTTTGTCAGAAATGAAAACATTTACGGCACACTAAAACCTGACGAGTAACAACCCATTTGGCTTCTAGTTCTGCCCTATTCCAACATTTAGCATACAAAACATTTAATATCAATTGCCATTCTAATGACCTTATTAAATATAAAGTCAATTGGATATTAACTTTAGCGTCTAAAGGGTCACAAGATTTTTCAAAATCGTTAAAAATCAATAGGCTTCTTCGTTTCATGTATAAATTTAAAGTCAATCAGATATCAAGTTTAACCTCCAGAGTATCCACAAGATTTTTTAGAGTGATCAAAGGTTATAACTCTGGCAGTAATTATCACAAATCGTTGAAAATTAATAGGCTTCTTCGTCTCATGATCTTAAACACTGTGTATAAAAGTCAATCGGATATTAACTTTAGCCCGTAGAGCGTCTACAAGCAATTGTGGACGCCGGACCGACAGGTGGGGACGACGACAATATACTATTATACAACCACCTTTCAATGTTGGTGAATAGAAACACCAAATGCAAATATTCACATATTTGATTACAATAGAATAGCATGAACTAGGTAGTTTATTTGCACAGAAACTGAAGTACACAGAAAGCTAAGAAGCTAAATATATTCAAATTATTTTTAATGTTTTGACATTACCGGTAATGGAGCCATTTTCCCATTTACTCTGACACAAATACTGGGAGGAAAATTGTCTGCTTGTTCACAACTTGTTTCTAACAAACAAAACCTATAATGAACAAAAAATAAATCTATTAGAGTATTATTTATTGTAACGTTACATGGGGAGAAATCTTTGAAGTCTGCTGCAAAACCATAATATATCATAAAGTTCAAAATAACCTAACCATGTATTCCTTGTAAATGGTTGAATAACATGCATAAGTCAATAAATACAGCAAAGATGAAAGGAAATTATCATCCCAGATATGAACTTTTTTATCATCAATATTCAGATGAAGCGTTTGGAAATAATGAAATATAATGAACATATTTACTGAGCTCTGTCAAAAGTTTTCCATATATCAAAAACGCAATTCTTAATCTATGAAAGAATCTGACAACACCAAGCAAAAAGATAATGTCCTCAGTAATTATAACTAACCGTAATTGAACTTGTACTGTATATTCACATTTAGCTCCTGGACGAAAATCTCTACAAAAAACAATAAATCAATAATTAGTAAAACAGATAGTTTAATTTTACTTACTTGATCATCTGTCAACTATCAATTTTCTCCTAACAATTAATTTATCAATGGAAAATTAGTTAACCGACAGTTGAGGATAGAGTTGACATGCATAGAACATAATGCACATATGCTAATTATGGGTCAATCATAATAAAGTCGAACTTGTAATATCAAAAATTATATCTTCCATTTGAAACATGTCGTACAGTAAAATATATCTATCAGGAAAATTCAGGTTGTGAAATTGTGAGATCAGCTGCAATACTTTTATAAATAAACCAAATAAATAGGATTTTAATGATTTCATTTACCTTGACATTGCAATATCTTGGGCTTGTTGGGGTGTCAGATGAAAAACGAAAAAGGATTCTTGGAAACGATTATTACTTTTCGGCACTGTAAAAATAGAAATTTAATTAATAATGACAATTTATATTTCAACCAGAACTAATCAAAGACTTTCTCAATATGTTTGTGATATTGTGCGGAAAATGCACTTTTAAGCATATCATTATAAAAATAATAATATTTTAACTTACCAAGACTTGTGGGTTTCATCAACTCTGCTAGTAAATCATAGAATGGTAAATGTTTGAAACGAACATCTGGATGCACAGGCATAGTTGATGTGGGTTGATGCAAACTTGCCAAATGCTTCCCCCCATAGTCAATACCTGTAATATACATGTTATAGAATACAACTTTATACCATACTTAGATTATACTTGAATTGCTTCTTTATATCTTTCATATAAATTTCACCTACTTAATTACCTAATGTCATATTAAATTCAGTTCATCTACTTAATATATCGAATTCATTATCACTACACTGTAGTACCGTAAGGAAATAAATATCTCTATATTTCATGGAACCAACAATGCACTAAAACTCAATAAAATCAGATCAAAATTTGGAAAAAAATGACAAGTCACAACCAAACAAACTTAGAACAATGTGTTAGTCAAAACACAAGCAAACACCATTCAAGCAAAATGAACCCACTTTTAGTCGTAATTAGTGATCTGTACCTTTATTATTATTTCTAGACATTTGAGAGGGTGCCATTCTGTTATTAATATTTGGCGCCACTGCAATGGGCCTAGACCTGTTTGATGGCATACTAATGTGGTTACTGTTAACAGAGGTAGCTGTTGAACTTCGTGAAGACCTTTGACTATATCCTGAATAATAATGATTTGAAAATGGGTTCTTGAAAAAAAAAAAATGACATGTATATTATATGTGTAAAGTGAATGAAATGACTGCTAAAGGATTTAGGTAGATTGACTGATAACTTGTTGTACACTGGTATTTTTCACATTGTCAAAGAAGTTGAAATATTTCAGTGGAAAAAGAATATGAGTTCAGTAAGAATGCCATGTCATGAATTGAAGAAAAAAAAGAATCAAAAGATGAATTAATCCAACAGACAGAAAAGCAAAGTCATATTAATAAAACAGCTGATGAAAGTTTTGTATACAACCAATGGGGTACTATCATTCACAAACGAAATATCAGAATGGACAGAAATGTATTTTATTAATTTGAACAATTTTTGTAACATGGTACTCCAAGCCAATATACCAGCAAAACATCTCAAATACTTAATGAAAAGGAATATGTATGAAACAAACAGTTCCAATTAAGCACTGCAATAAGTTGACATGAATAGAAATGTTTTGGTACCTGACTTCACAACTTTTTTCTTTCTTTTTTGAATGCCACCATTGCTAACATTTACTTGTTTAATAAAATCTGGCCCTGACCTACTCTGAGCTCTTGTGACAACCATCCTAACTAAACTGAATGCAGGTCTGTCTTTTTCAACAATATCCAATGACCAGGTGAGTTCCTATTAATACAACTCAAATGCAATCACTTGAACAACTAACCTGAACATAACTAGTGCTGTAGCAGCTCTACATATCTGATCAACTAACAATAGGATTAGCCCTTACAGATTATTGATTTCTCCTAAAGATTACAGACCATGTAGATTACTCTCAATGATTATTTGTAAAAGAAATTATAAGGAAACAATATTTTACACCATAATACATTTTAAAACATAGATATCACGTCACCTTTTGATGTTTTTAACCAGTATAGGAGAAAGTACGCTTTTCTTAAACAATCGTCTATTATTAATAAAACTTTCCATTATTGAAAATAATGGACAGGTTTACCAATAATAGACACTTATCTGAAAAATGAATGTATTTTGGGATAATTTATTCTCTGAACAAATTAAATTACAGTACATGAAATTACTTTAAAACATCAGTTACCAAAATGTCACATGACCGAATGTTGATTTCATGTGTTTGTCTACATAAAGAATTCCACTTAAATCCTTCCGTTTTATGTCACCTGTCCGTTTAATAGTACGTTCGGCACTAGATCGATGATACGTTTCTTTATCACCCAATAATACATTCTACAGTAGATATCGCTTGTGTGATATATTTCATAATCTACTGCGATATCTCCTTAGGAGATATCGCTTTACATGAATTTGATTGGTCAGTTGAAAAGGAACTACTTTTTTTTATTTTCAAAGAACAGTTCATTTCTTATTAAAAGTAACTTTTTTTTCTATTAAAAATGAACTATTGTTATTCAATTGGTCACCTTGATGGAAACGCTGGGTCAATATAAAGGACTTTGCAATGGTTGAATTGCTGTCAAAAAATGATGTATCACTACGCCGTAATGTTCAGTAAAAGTGAAATCTACAGCAAACAATTATATTTATCTATTTGTGTATGTAAGAAGGGATTGGGTGATAAATAAAATCTCCTACTCGTCTTTTTCAATATTCAAAAAGACTGGTAGGAGATTCTCTATATACGCCCACATTTTCACACCTTCTTTGTGGACACTCTACAGGTCAATACTTTAGGTATATATCCCAAAGATTTTGGTTCCTTTCGATATTGGCTTGTATGGGACGTAACTTCAAGGATTATGGCCCCTGATTGTATACACTAGAGGTCACAATTTTTTACCCATTTTGATGAAACTGAACATGTGTGTTTATAACCCAAAGATCTCAATTCCTTGCGATATTGGCGCATATCGGACCGTAACTTCCTGATTGTGCACACTAGAGATCACAATTTTTAGCCCATTTTGATGAAACTGAACAGGTGTGTTTATAACCCAAAGATCTCGATTCCTTGCGATTTTGGCGCATATCCGACCGTAACTTCCTGGATTATGGCCCCTGATTGAACAAAAAAATATGTTTTGAGCCTGTGGACCTATACAGGTCACAATTTTTATCCGATTTTAAAAACCGTTCAAATATATCACCGTTATACCAAAATGACAGTTGAGTTCGAATTTCCTGAATTAGTTTGTGCCTTTGATACTGTGTCCTGTCACTTATATCAGAGTATATATTAATTTCCAAATCAAAATTTGGACGGCTAGTACCCTTCATAGTACTAAGAATATTATCAATATCTACATCATTTTCGTGAGCAGCCTTTCCATCACATCTTTCATGGCTATTATCCCCCATTTCAAGAACATCACAATTTTTACGGCTATTATCTTTCATATCGAGTCCATTACCAAATGTAATCCGTATCCAAATGCTTATCACATATATTCTCATTATCAATATTTGTTTTCATCTGTGTTATAAACATGTCGTCTCCATGTCGAATATTTTGGACTGTCTGTGTATGCTTGCATTGTATGACTGGAGTGTTTTTTCACATGCATTCATCAGCATGTGCATGTTGTTTTAAGAATATATCCATTATTTTGTGACTTGTTCTTTTAGAAAACTATCCATTATTTGTATCTCTATGGTGCTATGTTTTAAGTTTGATAATATATTAATAGCCTCAGACTGTCCATTGTAAATACAAAGAAAAACTTTGGGGCTAACTGCTAATGCCCCTCAGTTGTTCTTTCTATTTACATAATAGACAGTCTTCAGCCATTATCCATCACGTACATTTGAGTTTATATGGGATTTATGATCTAACTTATTTTGCATCCACACAATACTAACGCTGTCTATCGCCATTTCCGCCACTTGCGATAAAAATATATATTTTGTCGATAAAATATTCAATCTGGCAAAATTTTTGCCTATAGCTTTTTCCTGTATGGCAATTCTCTTTTAACCGTGGGGATAAATTTGTTTTGCCACAAAACTTTGATTTCCAGTCTGTTACAGTCTATTGCAATTGGCCGAGTCAGTTATTAATAAATTTGGTATCAGTAATAAGGCTGTTTTTTGTCTATTAATTAATCTCAGATTAATGTTGATAAGTATTTACAGTAAGAGTAGTAATAAACTAAATAAGAGACACAAGATTTAATTATTTGTCTTCAAATACAATTTGGTGGCTTTTTTGATAGTTTCTATAATCAAAATGGTGGACACTATTATGAACAATACTCATTCGATTGGTTTGGGATGATGCTATCTGTTTGATCTATTTCAAATCCTTGGTTAAGGTATGATGCAAATACCGAAACAATGTTTTGTTCCACACGTGAATCAGCTAACTTTACAAATTCATTCACAACTGGTTGTAGTGTAAGAAAGCTTTCGAAAAATGGCGGGAAAAAATGGAACCCAGAGTGAGCGATGCAATCCATGCATGTTACTTTGCGATAAATTATCCACGATATGATACAACAATGTTATTTAGCTGGATGTAAGTTTATATCTACAATATAAATTTGGTTAATACTATAGTCTATAGCTAACCATAACTTTAGTCAATAGAGAGAGAAATGACAGTCAATGTTTTTTGAGGCGCGCGAGTGAAGGGAGGTTTTTCTCCCTCGCCTTAAAATTGAAAATCGCTTTCTTTATTTGTAAATCATGGACATATGTATTTTTTTTTTCAAAAGAGTGTGAAAGACTCACATTCCAGTCGCCGCCATTCTGTCATTGTGAACATTTATTTGATGTATTGGATTAGTGTATAATGTGATCGCACATGGTAATAAAATTCTGATGAATATGTTGCTAAAAATAGATGGTGCCTATGCGTCATTGGTTAATTTAACTGAAATGTAAAGTAGAACTCTCGCGAGACATGAGAAATTGCGAGAGATGGCACATGAATATTTCCAATGAGAATAATTCCGGATAAGAAATAGACTATATTTTGATGGAATTGTCAAGCGTTTATGATTATATTTTGAATAGGGGTTATGTTTTTAAACAAAATTGATATAGGCTATAAATATTTAGAAATCTCGACAAGTATTTCTATTGGAATACCGTAAGTAGTTTTAGACAATAGCATAAGTTTGACTTGACCGTACGACTAAGAGTGCTA